CAATACAGGTGTATCTGTATGTTTTAAGTTGATCAGTTTTGAAAATGCTATTGACATATTTTAAGACCTTGTATTGTTTTGAACCTATCTAGAATCAACAGGCATTGTTAATGTTATTCCCCAATATATTGATTTTAAAAAGTAAAGAAAAACTCTCAGAAACAATATTATTTGAATAATCATATCTATATTGCTTGTGACATATGAAAATATTTTCTGATTGGAAATGCTACTAGTATAACCATTATAAACCATGTGGTTTCCTGTATGGATATTTGCTGCTTTTGCTTTATTTCATGTTTTACTGGAAATTAAAGTATTTTCTTATTTGGGTATTATGTGAACATGCTTCCATGTTATATGTAATTTTAAAACACTTTGAGGGGACAAATTAATTATAATTGAATGAAATGACTAAATAATTTTAATAAAATTAAAAAATCTGAGTGATCAGTGGAGAAATTTCTAAGTTTAACAAGATTTATCAAAAGAATGTCTAAGCCTTATAATATTTCATGTCAGTGATATTTTTGGTGGATATGTTTTTCACTTTTTAATTTTGCTACATTTTCTATTGATAATGAAACATCGTAGATGATACTTAGCAAGTAGTTGGCAACATTGATATAAAGGTCAAAAGATGGAGTAAAAAAAAAACGGAGGAGGAAAACACTAAAAGAAAATGTTTGGAAATGAGAAATCCATAAAGGACTCTGGAAAGCTCCATCATTCTTCTGGTTATCTAGAAGACCTGTGTACATGTCCAGGAAAGACTTAAAAGAGGTCCTAATATCTCATGTTGCTGCCCTTGAAAGAGCACTTGAGGAAGTGAGGTCTAAGGCACAGTTGTAAATTTTTAGCATATGTAAAGGGTTCTCCAGTGCACAGAAGAACCCTCCTGTGATATTATAGATTTAAAGTATTTAGGAAAATATCTGGCCAATCATTAGCTGATCATAACCTAACTAAGCAGTGACTCTAGTAGTCAAGGAAACTAAGAATACAGACTTATAAACAACAACAACTATAAATAGAAACCACAATGGGCTCAGGATATGAGAGCACAAAATCTGATTTCCAGAGATATCTTTTTAAACATTCAACAACAACAACAACAACAACAACAACACATTTTCAAAATTATGAGAAAGGCAAGGAAACTAGAAATTATGTACTATGCAAAGGAAAACAAATATTAGGAACTCTCCTTGAAGAACCACAAATACTGAACTTTCACAACAAAGACATTAAATCAAAATTATGTATACATTCAAAAATTAAAAGAAACCTTGACTAAACAACTTAATGTAAGATAATAATGTTTTACCAAATAAAGAACAGCCATAAAGATTGATATTATTTTTTACATGTACTAAACAGAAATTCCAGAGTTGAAAGTGTAATAACTCCAATTTAAAAATGACTATAGAGAAGTTCAATGGAATACTTGAACTGGCAGAAGAATCAGTAAACTTGAAGATAAAACAACAGAGAATTATCTAGTATAAGAAAATTAAATGAAAATCATGACAAAGACATTGACAGAGTCAGAGACTTGTGAGATACCAAAATAGACACGGTAGAAGCCCTACAAAGAGCAGAGGAAGGGATCAAAGGCACATTCAATGAATGAACTCCATGCAATGAGCAATCAATGACATGAACAGAGAGCCTATGTTTTGGGATCAAATTTTTGCCACACACACACATCAGAGTGCTAATCTCCAGGATATATAAAAAACTCAAAAATCTTAACACCAAAAAATCAAGCAACCAATAAATGGACTAAGGATCCTAACAGACACTTCTCAGAAGAAGATACACATTTGATCAACAAATATATGAGAAAAATGTTCAACATCTCTAGGAATTAGAGAAATACAAGTCAAAACTACTCTTAAGATTTCATCTTAAGCCAGTCAGAATGGCAGTTATCAAGAATATAGACAAAAATAAATGTTGGTAAGGATGTGGGCAAAAAAGCACACTCATACATTGCTGGTGGAACTGCGAATTGGGCAACCAATTTGGAAAGCAATATGGAAATTCCTTGAAAAACTTGGAATGGAACCACCATTCGACCCAGCTATCCCACTCCTTGAGACCAAATAACTTAAAAACAGCATAGTACAGGGACACAGCAACATCAATGTTTATTGCAGTACAATTAATAATAGCTAAACTGTGGAACCAACCTAGATGCTCATCAGTAGATGAATGAATAGAGAAACCTTGGTGTATATACACAATGGAATATTACTCAGCATTAAAAGAGAATAAAATCATGGCATTTGCAATAAATGGATGGAGTTGGAGAATATCATGCTAAATGAAGTAAACCAAGCCCCCAAACATAAAGGCTGATTATTCTCTCTGATAAGTGGATGCTGATCCAAAATAGGGAGTGAGGTGGAGGCATGGGAATAATGGAGGAACTTTGATTGGGCATAGGGAAGGGTGAGTGGAGAGGGTGCAGGGGTACAGGAAAAATGATGGAATGAGATGGAGATCATTCCCCTAGGTAGATGTAGGAGTTCGCATAGGGTGTGATGCTATAATCGTGTACAACCAGAGAAATGAAAAGTTGTGCTGCAGTGTGTACAATGAATCAAAATGCATTATTAAAATAAATTATAAAAAAGGCATATTCAATGAAGTGATAGCTGATAATTTCTCAGAATTGATGAAACATGTTAATCTTCACATCCAACACTCCTAACAAACCCCAAGTGTGATAAACTTGTAGAAATCCACAACTAAACACTTCAAAACCAGTCACTCAATAAAGACAAAAGGAGAACTTTCAAAGGTGCAAGCATGGAGTGATGATAATATATATGGGATTATCATTAAGATTAGTAGCTGATTCTCACCAGATACCACCGAGGGCAAAAAAGTGGTGGAAAACATATTAAAAGCAATCTTATACCAAAAGAACAATGTTATAAGCATCACCATACTACCTGACTTCAAAATGCACTTCAAAATAAAGACCATGGTACTGGCCTAAAAACAGACATGTAGGCCAAAGGAACAGAATAGAAAACCAAGATATTAAAACCACACATTTACAGTCAGTGTTCAACAAAGGAATCAATAACACATTTTGAGGAAAGCACAGTCTCTTCAATAAATCATGCTGGGAAACTGGATGTCCATACTCAGAAAAATGAAATTAGACCTGTGTCTTTCACCACTCACAAAAATCAACTCCAAATGAAATACTTAAATATAAATCTCAAAGCATTGGAAGTACTAGAAGAAAACGCTGTCTGATATAGTTCTGGAAAGAATTTTGGGGAAAAAATCTCAATAGCATCAACAAAAAAAAGCAAAAGCCAACAAATATGATTCCATTGAACTTAAAAAGTTTCTGCATAACAAAGGCAATAGTCCACCACGTGAAAAGACAATCTAAAGAATGGGTGAAAATGTATGCAAACTATGCATCTTAAAAGGGGCTAGTATCCTAAATATATAAAGAATACAAATAACTCAATAGCAAAAATAAAAATGAATGGGTTATGAAACGGGCCAAATATCTGAATAGACATTTCTTAAAGAAGACATAAAAAGACTAATGAGTGTATTTTTAAAAAATTATGCCATTACTGATCATCAGAGAAATGTGAATCAAAACCACAGTGAAATATCATCTAACCCCAATGAGAATGGCAGTTTTTAAATAGAAAGTAACACATGGTGGTAGGAATATGGAGAAAGTGAAACACTTATATAGTTCTGGTTGGAATGTAAAATAGTAAAACTGTTATGGAAAACATTAATGGAGGTTCCTCAAAAAATTTAAAAGTATAACTATCATATGAGCCAGCAATCCTACTACTGGGTATATTTCCACAAATGAAATGAAATCAGTATGTTAAGAAGAAATTGCATCAAATTTATGTTTCTGTGTCCATAATACTATGTCCACTATGTTGTGTAGAATACTTTTTTCATGAACATTTGTGTATGTGTAAGTGAACATTGCAATATAAAAGTGCTATAAATTCTCTCCTAGTCCTCAGTTTTTGTCTTTTGTAATTTAAGATTCATATTTTTCATCAGGTTCTAAATATCTCCAGTTGATAAGAATGTAGGGAATGCTCAAATATTTTGAAATTATTAAAACTGGAATCAGGAGATCTACAAATCAGACTTTGTGCTCAAACCTAAAGGGACATTTGAATCTCTTCTGGGCCTGAGAATAATTCTGAAATTAATCTGATCCTGATCCACAGGTTTACATCAAACTAGGTTTATATCATAGTACATCAGATCCCTGTGAAAATACTCAGATAGCTTCAAGAGCCCAATATTTAGATCTTTCCTTTACTCACAGTCTCCAAGAACTGCTAAAATAAAAATTCTGTAGAAAATCTTGTTATTAAATATTTCTAGTATTTGTCATGTATGAAAACACACAGATTTCTCATATGACTTTTAAGTATGAATAGGTACTCCATGTGTACTCCAAATGCGCTAAACCTATGCTTCTGTTTTTAAACTTTGGGTTTTTCTGGAAACTACATTTCTTATCCATTTTTTTTGCAAGAATTTCTTTTGCTAGCCCAACACAATTGTTGGATTTGTATTTTTACTTAAAAAGTCTCATGTAAGTTTGTCTATCAATAACAATTCAATATGAACTAATTTAGTTTTTGTGGCTTTTATTATTGGAATTACATTCACTTTTACTGATATTTTATTTGTTCTTTACTCTGAAGAGTTAACCATGAATGCAGTAAGTTGAATTTTAACAAATGAAAGAATTACTATAGATTTTCTGAACCAGAAAAAAAAAGGGGGACAACACCTTAATATTTATAATTAGTTTACTGAATATGTTTCTCTCTCAGTCCTATAATTCTTCACATTGAAATATAAGTGAATTTCTACTTCAGTTATTTACAAATAAAGTACAGATCATCTTAGAGAAATCTTGCTCTCGATATGTGTACTAGGATTTACTGACCATATCCATGTCTGTTTCTTTCTAGGGGGACATCCAGCAGTTTTTAATCACAGGTGACCCCAAGGCAGCATATGACTACTGTGAGCATTATAGTCCAGACTGTGACTCTTCAGCACCCAAGGCTGCTCAGGCTCAGGAACCTCAGGTAGATGAGGTGAGGAGCACAAGATCACCAGGTCCTCTCATTTCTCCGATATGCATGGCATCTTCAGTTTGGGGACTTTACTTACGTATTTAATCATCTTAATTATATTTTACATTATATTCAATAGTTTTGTAATATGTATAAGAAGAAGTGACTTAATGATACTTGGTAGTTTTCCCCTCCTTATGCATTTTGTTCCTTAATTTTATTAGAACTAGAGTTATTTCACTTGTACATTGCATATATGAGTGTATTCCATTTGAGAGTATAATTTCTAATAGCTCATTTTTGCTCTTTAGCATTAAATATTTAACACAGCTTCAAGATAAAGGTAGTGTATCTTCTAGCATACTTGCCTTTCCTCAGGCCTTTTAGAGTTCATGCAGATCGGAAAATGGCCTAAGAACTATTTTAAAGTTTTTAGGCTTTGTTGAATAATTAGGTAGTTCTTCCCCCCTACCCCATTTTCACACAGGGAATTTAAAAAGAAGACCAAAAGTAAGGAATGTATGTTTTTATTGGAATTAGAACTGTTTTTAGTATATTTTTATAAGAATTATTAATTTGAGAAGGGGGAAAGTCTTAGAACAACAAAACTGTTCTTATTTTAACTCAATAGTTTTTTTTTAACCTTTTAAATATACTGTAGGTATCTTTTGACTTTTTTAACTAGTTAGAAAAGGTTAAAATATTTTGATTTATTGCTACTGTTGAAGTGAATTTAGTTTAGATTTTACAATAAAATCTCTTTAATATGTGTTTTTCCAACACTTGTTTATTTTTAAGGAATGATAGTGAATCTGTTGCCCTAATTTTTTCCATGACTTAATATCAGTGTTTTTTGTTTCAAAAAGGGTATTCTTAACAAATCTGAGAGAAAAAAGAAAAATTACTGGATATTTTGTTTGTTTTTCTTTTCATAGTTTTTAAATGCCTTACGATTCACTAAATATATTTTCTGTCAATTCCAATGTGATGGGTGAAATACCCTTTAGGTTTATGCTTTTGTATCTGACAGATTATGTGATAACTTAATATTAACATTTGTAGTATTTATTGTATATGTTCAAGAATGATAAGATTTATTTTATGCTTCTTTCTTAAGAAGGATAAGTCTTACTCTTTTTAGCAAGAGATATGGCTCTGATTTTTGGAAGAAGGAAGGTATGCGTTTTTAATATATTACCTTCAGGTGTTTTGCTCCCATGTTTTATTGCTATTATGTCAGGTAAGTTGAGTCAATTTACATGAGGATAATTGTCATCAATCTTCTTAAGTTCATTGAGAAGTGATCCTGCCTTTTTCTATTTTGGTTGTTGAAATGCATATTTTCTATGCTGTTGAGATGCCAAACTTACTTTTTACTGGAAGCATTTGGTGAGGAACATGACACATAGCTATAATAGAAACTGCAAGAAAATCTGGTTGAACAAGACAGGAATAAACAACTTTTATTACCAGTTTCTATATGGATTATAACAAAATGAAAACATTTATTCATTTATTTTTTATATTGGCACTGGGGATTGAACCCAAGGGTCTTTTACTACTGTTTTACATCCCTAGCTCTTTTAATTTTTTTTTTTTATTCAAACATGGTCTCCCTAACTTGCCCAGGCTGGCCTCCAATTTTCAATTCTCCTGTTTGAGACTCCTGAATCATTGTAATTACAAGAATGTAATTACAAATCAACTTTCACTTTTTTTTCTGTAATGCTATATTAGCATTGATACTTTGATAATAAGATAATCATTCTATACTAGTATTACAAAAACTAGTAAAATCAAATTAGTAAGGAGTCTTTATATTTATTTTGAAGTGTATCCATTATTATGTCTTTATATTACAATATTACAATGACTGATTTTTAGGTATTCTACCTAAGCAAAATAACTTTGTAAAATTTTATTTGCCAGTAAATGGAGAACATAAAGTGCACTATGAAGCATGAGTAATACATATTGTAATTTGTGTTGTTTAATATTCCATTAATAACTTTGTGAAATTGCATATATATTATTCTATTTGGATTAATAAATATGACAATTTATTTTGGAAACTAACCCGTCTGCTTTTTCCAACTTGTTTTTTCTAATTAGTATCCCTAAATAACATTCTTAAAATTTAATTGTTTGTGTCCTCAGCACATCATATTGTGATTACAAAGAAATATACAGTGTAGATAGAGTTCAGTTTAGTAATGTCATCAAACTTAATTATATTTGAACCTACATGATGCCATTTAAACATAAAACCAACTAATATTAAAATTTAAATGCCATTTAAATATAAAAGCAACTAATATTAAAATATTAAAATTATTTGCTCAGTGGCAGTATCATAGCCAATGAGGTTTATCTGAGGCATGATTATCGCTAATTGAAAATTATGGTTTTGGTATTCTTATCAGGTTAAGTTGTCTTTTTGATTATAAGACATTGGATATCAAATTTATATATGATTTCTTCTTTTGGGGGGTTACTAGGGATTGAACTCAGGGGCACTCAGCCATTGAGCCACATCCCCAGCCCTATTTTGTATGTTATTTAGAGAAAGGGTCTCACTGAATTGCTTAGCACCCCGCTTTTGCTAAGGCTGGCTTTGAACTCCTGCACCTCCCACCTCAGCCTCCTGAGTTGCTGAGATTACAGGTGTGCACCACCATGCCCGTCTGATATCTTCTTAATGTATGACACACCGTAGAATACCTTCTATGTAAAAAGCAAGAATGATACTTTTTTTAAAAAGATGAAAAGGAAAAATGAAGCAAAATAAAGACCACCCTTTATAAAGAAATTTACATAATAAATGGCTTCCCAAAATATATTACCTGAATTATCTTTTCACTGAATATTTATTATACATGCTAGTTTCAATAAATTCACAGGTTTTTACTCAGAGCACCATTTTTCTTCCAAATTTAGTGAAGGACAGAATTTGACATTTTCAGAAAATGAGTCTTTCTCATCACATATTCTAATTTCTGCTGGCCTATGAACAAATCAAGGTTAAAATCATCCCATCACTGCACATCTTCTTGCACATATTCCTCTGTTTATGACAACCAGTTTTTTCTTCTACCTATCTCCAACATATCCTCTAAAGTGCACATAAAAATAGACAATAAGGCTTCATGCATACTAGAAGTGCCTGAAGCCATTAACTAAAATGTGCTTTAAATCTGAAGAAGTGAACATGTTATTTCCTCCATTATTCAAAACCATTCTGAGAATTCTTCCTCTAGAAGGTGTTCAAACTGAGGAGTGATTAGAAAGGTTAGCAGAAATTTCTTCTTACAAGAGAGAAACATCACATAAAATCATTATTTGGTGGAGGTTTAAATGTATATCGATAAATAGCAGACCTCAGTTTAAAATGCATTTAAATTGCCCATGTTTGAAATTGGGTCTTAGATCTTTACTGATTTTGTTTTTTTCAATTCATTATTGATGTATGTCATTCAGAAAAGTTTGTTTAATTTTATAATTCTAAAGCATAAAATAGATTAGCAAATATTTAGTTTTCCCATATTTTATTTTAAGTTGGTGATCAGTAAAGATATTCAATATTTCTTACTTTAACACAAGTGACTATAACTGTAGCAAACTACTCATTAGATAATATTCAATCTCCATTATGTCTATTTAATACGTAATAAATTTAGTACTTAATTGCTTTAGTTAATAAGGTTACTAATAATGCTTACAGAAAATTTTCTAGAAATAGTTGGCATTTTACCTTACTTGCAAAAGTATGAAAAACCAAGGATATTTAAAATGTGATCCACTTTCATTTTCCTAGTTACCTATGTAAATTCTTATAAGAATGACATTTATTGAATGGCCTCCAGTATATCTAGTCATTGAAAATGAAGCTGTTATTACAGAAGTAAAATTGAAAATCTATTTATTTATTTTATCAAATAAGAATTTTGACAGTCATAAAAAATACAAAAGGAACACCTGTTTATATTTCAATATGACCTGTAGCCAAAGGATCTAGAAATGTTTCTCTAGTGAGGGTATTTCATTAACAACTGAATGTACAAAACTGACATGGGCTCACTTTTGATGTGTCTCTTTATATATGTGTGGAATTTACACTCATCTGTGTAGCTATGTCAAACAGAGCTTATTGGAGGGCACTCTGATCACAGCTTTCTTAAATTTTTAATTAATCATTATTTTGTTGGCAGATTTGGTTGAGATGCCAAATTGGGTCATAACTAGAATTTTACCAAATACAGTACTTAGGGAATTACATGTAAGTTTCCTTTTGTATTCCTGTGTACCTGCTTTAGAATTTTATATCATTGACTTCTCTGCTTAATTTTTATGTAGTATCTGATTAATGTATTTGTAGTTATTTTGATGAGAAATATTGATTCCTAGTATCTATATTCTTGATAAAAAATTTTAATTTTAGTTTTGGAAATGAATACATTATTTTCCACACCATCACTATATGGTTTTATTTCATCTCCCTCTATTAAAAAATGATCCCTCTCCAATCAAATTCTTTAAAAAAGAATAATTTGGAACAAAGTGCAATTTTTCAATTTCAATTTATTGACTTAAATATTATTCTCTCTTTTCAATAGCTAAAGAAAGCAGTAATTTCAGAGATTGAAATAATGTTTTAATCATAAACATATCTAATTGCAAAACTTTTAATACTTTATAAATGCTTTGTTTTTTAGTTAAGTCTATGAAGTTAGAGATTTCCAAATAAATTGTAGAATTCTTTATTTCATTGATTACAGTTTTCTGAAAATAATATAGATTTATCTCATGTCCCTTGATTCCTTTTCCTTCTTCCTTCCCCATCTTATAATAGATTTGAAAGTCCTTTCATACTCCGGAAGACTACTCATATTTTTTTAAGTATGTTTTTTTAAAAAAAATTACCTATCAATTATTGTGAAATTCTCATACTGGAACCTTGTATAACAATTTTTATAAATCAAAACTAACCTAAATAATTCGCAGGTATATCCAGGAACATAAATGCTGTGTTTGGATTCATACTCAATAATTAAAAGTTTGAATTATTCAAAACTTTTAGTTTTCCCATAATCCTAACCACGATTCTGCTCTTACAAACCCTGCTTTATCTCTCCTGTTATTATACTGTGTTTAAGATGATATAATAATACTTCCATGTGGAACAAAATTACTTTTAAGTAACAGTGTGTTTCCCTGTTTCTTAACATTTACTCTAAGTAAAAGTTAAGAAGATGATTCCTGCTTTGTTAGTATTACTTGCAACTAACAAAATTGCCTGCTATTTTTTTCCTTTGCAATGTAGTATGCACCTGAGGATATAATGGAATATGAGTATGAGTACGGGGAGACAGAGTATAAGGAGGCTGGAAGTGTAACAGAGAGCCCCACTGTAACTGAGGAGACAATAGCACAAACAGAGGTAAAAACAAAGAGGCATCTGTGTATGTGGTGTCTGCGCTTCCTCGTCCTCTGGTTGCTTATGTCAACTGTTTCTCAGACTTACCATGGACCTTTTATTCACCTATTTTCTGTGGAATAATAACAGATTTTATTTGACAGTCGTTGTCCTGCAGGGGTGCTGCTCGTGTGGCTTTTGCTTATTCTTTCTTTCATCCACACTTTTTTTTTCCCGTCTCACTTTATTTATGTTTCCATTCCATCTTTCATCACATTTTTACAGAAAAAGAAATCCAATTTCAAAATGAAGATGAGGACAGTGGCCACTAACTCAAAGGAAAAACTCAAAAAGTTTACACCCCCCAAAACCAAGAAGAAGAAAAGTTATCAAGCAGCAGCAAAAGCCAAACTAGGGGTAAAGGTAGCAAAGAAAAAGCAATCAAGATCTCTCCTAGATAAGCTGGAAGATCTCTGATCATGAGTCATAGTCTTAACCCAACTAGATAAATACTCATTTGGCTAATACTGTACCCCCCTTAACTCACGATTTTTACATACTTGAGATGATTTTACATTTATTGATTGTTTTTCTTTTGAATTTTTTAGGCAAATGTTATTGATGATTTTCAAGAATATAACTATGGAACAATGGAAAGTTACCAGACAGAAGCTCCTAGACGTGTTTCTGGAACTAATGAGGTAATACACACAGACAGCATTAAATCACAAGCCAACAGCTAAAATGTGTTATATATTTTGATATACTTTGCTCTGGGAGAATCCATAATCTCTGAATATTCCAAGTTTTTATTCTTTTACTAAGGCAACAGAAGCAATAGCATTGATTTACATTAATAAAATCTGATCATTTGAAGTCATTGTCAATTCAGGTTTTGCATGATTCTTTGCTTCATGCAAACTCTAAAATGTTCAAACTGAATTGGCTGCTATGATCTTGATTTTTTCTAGTGTTGAGCAAGCTTCTCAACATGTTGTGACAAAGACTAGTCACAGCATGATTTTTCTGTAGAAGTGAAAATTGTATCATCGCTTGATACAATTGGAATTTTATTTCATCTGACCAATAATCATGATTTTTTTTTCAACCACTTCAACCACTGAGTCATATCCCCAGCCCTATTTTATGTTTTATTTAGACACAAGGTCTCACTCAGTTGCTTAGTGCATCTCTTTTTGTGGAGGCTGGTTTTGAATTCACAATCCTCCTTCTTTAGCCTCCTGAACCTGGCCTCATAATCATGAATTTTAATGACAGGAAGCATTTTGAAAAAAATGTAGTCTTAGCGGATTTTAATAGATACTTGTATTTTCAAATTTCTTGAGATTGTGATATTAATTAGGATTAGATGATATATCTTAGTCATTCCAGGATTTTATAAAAAATGTTTTAAATGTGGGTAGGTTACAAATCAGTCATCCTGAATTCCATATTGCAAATGCATTTTGATTATGAAAAAAAATCAGTATACAATTTAGTTTAACTTTGTTAAATATCTGGCATACATTCCTTTGAATTTTATCAAAAAATGAGTAAAAGGAATGTGTGAATAATTTAATTATTTGAAATTTATATAAAACATGTCCCTATGAGACAAAAGAATATTACCTCTAAACACAAAATTTTGAATAGTAAATATTTAGGGTGTGAATGGATTTTAAGTTTCACCTAATTCCATTTCATCATTTTCCAGCAGAGGATGCCTTTATTGAAGATGCTTCTTTACATTCTTGAAATTCATTTGGCTCTTTAGTCCAGGGTTATGAACATATAATATTCTGTGTTTTGATCCTAGATAGCATGCAACCTCCTGTAGACAGTGCATGTACTTATTGAAGAGTACAAAAATGTTTTGATTATCGGCTATTTTATTATTGATAATAATTGCTAAATCAATCACTTATCCACGTATTTTTCACAAGATTTTGTTTACTATTAATTTATTTACTATTACTCTAATTATATCATTCACTATACCATAGATAAGTTATTTAAAAGAGAAAATATCACAAGATGAATTATATATTTGGACTTCATCAGAATCACAAGAAGGCATAGTATTCATATAAAATATATGATTTGCATTAATGCTATATAAAGCATTATTTATGAGAAAAATTACATTCTATAAAGTTTATTTTCTGTATCACTGAGGAACTATCATTGATATGAAATTGATTTTTTGTGTTTAATTTCTACTCTAAATGAGATTATACAATAACTTTTTTTTTTACTTTGAGGAGTATAATTTACATTTTATTTACTTTAATGAACTGTTTAGTGTACTACTATTTCTCTTCATACACAGAATTTTGCATAATTATTGCAACGATAAATCACAATTATATTGGCATTAATATTTTATCTATGGGATTTAATATCAAGCTTATATGACTTATTGTAGCAGTTTTATTTCATAATGATGTCCTATGAGCTTTGAAAATTAAGCATAGTTTTAGCTATATGAATGTTTTATTGTTCAAATCTTAAATTATAAAAGTAAATATCAACTTGACTAACATAATATTTTTTCAATGGAAGCAAATATACATGGTGGATCCATGTGAATATTTGCAGGTTATTGGGAAAAGTAGTGCTTTGAAAGCAATATGCCTTTGTACATACCAATGTACAAGTGTATTTCTTTCAATTATACTGAGAGGCTACCTTTCCAAGCCTTCAAATCTTGCTTAAGCAGTGATAAAAATCTTTCATTGTCTGCCATCAAGCTGTAATTACAAATGCTTACCTTGCTTCACTAACAATAAACTTTATGTTCTCCAATTCCTTGTAACTTAAATTAATAGCCAAATCCTGTTGAAGACGTTTTCACAGAAGAATATATAACTGGAGAGGATTATGATCCCCAGAGGAAAAATTTCGAGGACACACTATATGAAAACAAAGAAATAGACGGCAGGGACTCTGATCTTCTGGTAGATGGAGATTTAGGCGAATATTTTTATGAATATAAAGAATATGAAGATAAACCAACAAGCCCCCCTATTGAAGAATTTGGTCCAGGTGTACCAGCAGAAACTGATATCACAGAAACAAGTGTAAGTCAGCAGTAGGCTCTTTGTCATTGTCTAACTTATTTTTGGAGTGTTTTCATGTTCATTTTAATGTGTTTTCTGGTTCAAAGTACAGGTGGAGTTTATATATCAATTGTGGATACTTACCACTCTTAGGCCACCTTGATAGATTCTTCCTAATTGGAATCTTCAGCAATTGTATCTCAGGCCACTCTACTGGAATCTTCTTTAAAAATATAGTTTGATAAAATTGTACATAAAATTTCTCAGCATTGACAAGTACAGTAATTACTTTTCGGACTAGAAAGTTTGATTTCTGATTTTTTAGTCTATTATATTAAAGTACTGACATTTCTTAGTGTCTTAGAACTATAATTAAAACTACAGATGTTTTTGTTCTTTCTATACTATGTTTTAAAAAGCAATTGTTCAATCTCATTTTAAGAATTAGTGTTGAGGTTTATTTTCAGTATTGAAGCCTTTAATAAATTGCTGTTTTAAAAAGCACATACTTTAATAGGTTGGTTTAAATGCCTCTAAGTGATTGAATTCCTTTTTAAAAATACTGAAAAAGCTTCATTAACATGAAGACATTTTGGGTGTCTTAAATTTTTCACTCAATAGATAAATGGCCATGGTGCATACGGAGAAAAAGGGCAGAAGGGAGAACCAGCAGTGGTTGAACCTGTAAGTACATTTTAAAGGTTGGTGCAGTTGTTGTAGTTTATAGTATGAACTGCCATCATCTTAAATTATTATATATGTTCATATATTATCATTGAAAATCCTGATGTCCAAATGGTTATAATTTGCTAAAAGTCCATCAGTAATGCCTTTTCTAACAAATGCAATTTCAATAGACCAAAATATTATGTAACTGAAATTTCAAAATTTGAAAGTGGGTGAATTTGTCTACTTATATTCTCTCATTTTACAGCTAAGAAGACCAAAATCAGAAGGGTTTAAGTGATTTTTCTGAGTTTCAAATGATTTGATGGTTGAGTTATAACATGACTTTAGTTTTTCTGATTCCCAATCTTATGATTATTTCCTCTAATTTCTATAATGACAATATTAGAAATATATTATTGGATGTAGAACCTATTTTATCAGATCCAAATGTGTGATGCAATGATTTAAGAGTATTCTTTTGAAAATTTACTTTTCTTTCTTTTCCTATGCAAAAGTGTTTGTAATTGATTTCATTTAATAGGAATGGAGAATTCACTTTTTAAAAGTCAATGGTTTAGTGTTGTCTTACATTCACTTAGTTAAGAGGTTGAGGGTTTCACTTCCCTGGTCAAAGATTTTCTATCATTTTTTTTAACAGGGTATGCTAGTTGAAGGACCACCAGGGCCAGCAGGACCTGCGGTAAGTAAATTATATATGATTATTTTTTGTCTTCATTTTTCAATGATTGAATATAAGATTTCTATTTTATTAATAGATTTTTTTTTATTAAATTGAATATTGAATCCTAGGGGCAAACATTTGTTTGGAGGGTCTGGTGAACTGGAACTACCTTCTGATTTAGCTATCCAAGTGTTATTCTCTAAAGAACACTTGAATTAAATTTTGTTTTGAATATTTTTTTGCTTAAATGTCTCTGCATCTTGTAACCAATTTTCATCTTTTTACCTGAAAATTATAAAAGTTTAGGAAAAGATCTTTCTTCTTATTAGGGAGTTATATTTCAGTGCATGGGTGAGAATTCTAGGAAGACTGTAGCTGTCTTATATGTATTTCTAGAAGGAATAATTATGAGATTCCATTGTCATTTCCTTATAAGGTTGATATCACTTATTGTGTCATTATTTTAAGGTAGTTGAACTGAATAGACCTCGTAACAAATCTTTTTTTTTTAATGTGTGTGTGTGGAATTAATTATATTCTCATTTACTGAAAATAATATAAAATACTTATGCTTTCAAAGATTTACAAAAGAGAATATGAAAATGCCTACAAGCTAAATGTAAAAAGGGATTTCTACATTTTCAACTCAGCTATCACATATTTGAGGTCTAATCTTGTGAGTGTGCCATTTCTTCAGGAAGAACTGGGAACCGACTTCAACCTCAGGGACTTTACATTGGCATGTTCTCCTTTCCTGTTTTGCTTGGGACGTTTGCCTCCACCCAAGAGCTGCTTCATAGAGGAGCAGTGTGCTAGCTACAAAGTGGTTCCTATATGTTGTCTTTTCACAAGAACCTAAATAGGGCAATTGTTTGGGAGACAAGTGTATATTTATGAAATATAAATGAGCTGTTCTTTGATTTAGAAGGATGAATTTTCCTGAATACCAAGGGCTCAGGAATTTGACTCAGACCCTGGTTTGTTTCTTTGTAGGGTCTAATGGGTCCTCCAGGTCTACAAGGCCCCTCTGGACCTCCTGGTGACCCTGGTGATAGGGTAAGTAAAGGGTCCTCTCATTAAAAAAGCATACAACCACAGATTAAAGGAATTAAAATATATTCATTAACATTAAAATGTTAAATTCTCTAACTTCAAAGTGTTATTCTTCCTGAGGGTGGGAGGGTTGGGAGGGTAAGAAGTCTAAGAATTCAATGTCCTGTAACATTTAATTAACCTTTTAAACTATTGTTTTAAGAGTGAGGCTAAAATAATGTTTATTTCTGGTAAAATTGGTATCATTAGTAAGCAGATTTTATTTTTAGTCAATTCTCACATCTCTGTGAGCTCTCTACATTAGGTTCAGTTCTTCAAATTTGTATTTCAGACATTGCCATAGGCATTTATTTGAATGCTGTTAGAAGGAGGTAACCAACTTGAATTCTAGTCTGAAGATCACGCAAATTCTGGGTTCTATTATATAGTAGATCATTTGTACTATCTCTCCAGACTCTTTTTGTAAATTATCTTGTCTTTCTTCTTCTCATTCTTGAGTAGACACTATCTTTGTGTAGTGTGTATGTATGTGTGTGCTTTTCTTTTTCTTTTGTTCTTTTAAAAACGAATAGAGGATCAAAGATGTGACCAACTCATACTTTTTTATATATTTACAATTTAAAGAAGACAAGTATATCGTATTAGAATTTATCCTCTTTACTGATAAAAATGACTTGGCTATGTAGAAATAAATTTTGTTCTATTGCAATCTTATGGACATATAACTTGCATCTACTACTATTAAATATATATTTAATATTCTCTACATTTCCATACATATCTTGTGTTCAGAGATATCACAGTAATAAGTAATTTCCATGTGTGTAACCATGCATGGACTGAATGTATTTTATCATTAAGAACTCAAAATAAAACAGTGATTATCTATAAGTAAATTTAGCATGTAAATCTTATGTTGAATTATTGATCATCTATATTAATAAAGTAACTACTTGTTAAATGATATTTAAAGCCACCTAAATATGTATTTCAGTAGTCTATGTATTTAAGTAGTCTATTAATTGATGCTATTGAAGTAGCTATTAAAGAAGACTTAAACATATCTTAAACTTACTAATTTGGTTTTAAATAAATACTTTATCATTTACTTAAATTCTGTAACATCCAAACATTATTCACTTATTTTCCTCAGACTGATTCTCCCCAGAATATAAAGGAACTCTTTTATCTTATATAGTTTACAACTTCAAGTAAACACTTAGCAAAGTTTACATCTTAATTCTATATTAATTCTATATTAGTAAGCACACATTATAAAATGTTTCAAAACTAGTGCAATGAAATACCATCCTTTCTAGTTGTATTTACCCAAAGAAGATTAACCAACTTAGAGTAGTCAAATTCAAATGAGATAATGTAGTCTCTGGTTATTATATATTATATTCTAATAAATTCTATGATTTCTTTATTATTATATGATTGATTGTATTCTTTTGATTGCTTCATTTCTTTTCCTAGGGTCCACCAGGACGTCCTGGCTTACCAGGTGCTGATGGTCTACCTGGTCCTCCTGGTACCATGTTAATGTTACCGGTATGTTTCTTTTTATTTTTATAAAGACAACTTGCTATCTGGTCAACTTGTTTCTGAAAAATTCTATTTGGAATGCAGTCAAGTAAAAATCATTCTACACGGCACACATAATTAATCAAACAGCCTTTGGAAGTTAAGGGAAATTTTACTACACAAATATCTGGTAAATATCAATGTCAACAGTAAAACTTTGATAATTTGATTACACTTTTAGCAACAAAGTTTTTTAAATATTTTTAATAATGTGGTTTATCATTAGCAAATATTTCATATTTTACTTAACATAATATTAATATAGTATTTATCACAATAAAGACTATAGTTACACCTTTTTATATATATTTATTTTAATTGTAGTTGGACACAATACGTTTATTTTATTTATTTATTTTTATGTGGTGCTAAGGGTCAAACCCAGTGCCTCACATATGCTAGGCGAGCGCTCCACTACTGAGCCACATCCCCAGCCCTAGTTAAAACTTTTTAAAGAAGATTTATCTATAATGTCATTATTCATTGCTCAAAAATTATGCTTTACCACAAGATTCTTTTCCAAATACTATGCCTTAATGCTATGGGAAAAAATGTCCTAGATTTATTGATTTAAATGTAATAAAGTTTTGATAAAAATTATTTAGAGTGAAAAATTATCTCACATTGCATTTTGAATTAAAAGTAAACAGAGCTTTATGATTTTATGAAGAAATACTAGTTAGGATAGTTTTCTTGTATAATTGCTGAGGAATGAATAAGCAAAATTAATATATCTCAAAAATTTTTTTCTATATATTCATGGAAATTCAAAAAGTTTTGATCAATGAAACATACATAGGTTTATATTTGTAACTGAAATTATGTAGGTATGACATTTTTACAAATGAATGAATAGTATGGGAAGCATATTTGTAGATCAAAACATCATGATGATTCATTTCAGAGATTATAGATTTTGAGACTGGTAAGGAGTTTGTACATTTTTTTACTCTTTTACAACTGATAAAATGTGTAGAGAGCTTCCATAAGAAGTAGAAGCAGGATTTAAAAAAAAAATTAAAAACTGGGTCTTATGGTACATTGTGGAATTAATTTGGATGTGGGATAAAATTACTCCATTTTAAGTGAATGTTTTTTGTCTATTGGTTAGGACACCTGGTTTATCATACGTGACAAAGGCCAGTTTTCAACTTCTTAATGTTCTCTCTTCCTAGTTCCGTTATGGTGGCGATAGTTCTAAAGGACCAGCCATCTCTCCTCAGGAAGCTCAGGCTCAAGCTATTCTTCAGCAGGCTCGGGTAAGAAAAGATAGACATATATTCCCATTACCGGATGCTGTGTCAAATTTGTGTGTGTGTATGCCTATGGAAGATGCTACCACTATGAACAGAAGACTTCTGGAAAGTATATGGAATTTACAAGGAAAGAATGCTAAAAATATATTTTTTCTCATTGTGATATTTATTAATTGATATTAAATAATGGACTCTTGCTTTATTCACATATATAATTCTGACTGTCTCCTACCATAATATTGAAAATTTCTAGTGTTTTAATAAAACTGATGAACTAATACCTAGTACTCCCTATCTTTCACATCCAATTTTTGTCTAGTGATTGATGAATCACTAGATTAATAATGTTTGAAAGAAATTTGTCCCTCCTAACCTCTGGATTATTTAAAATATCTCAAATAATCCAAAAAGTTATGTTTCTTCAGATACCTTGTATATGAAAAGAAATTTTAAGTACATATTTTCAGCTGTAATATTTATAACATATAGTTTTCTTATAAAACCTAGTCAATATTTATCCTTTATAATCCTAGTCAATTGAAAGCTTCTACTATTCTTTAGATTTATAAAACAGATAGTCACACATATGTTTTTAATTAGCTGCACTATAATTAAAATATACATGAGCAAATCAAAAGAATGAATCAGGGAGGAACCAGAAATCATATAACACTTTAATAGTTTTATTCATAATATTGGTTTTCTTTTTAAGAAAAGAATAACATACAGGATTCATGGTTGGTATGGATATGGTTCATTTTTTTTAACCAATATAAACCCCTTCTATAATAACATTTTATTCGACATCATGAATTTATATCTGTGTAAAACACCTGAAAACATTAAGTGAAAGTTGTAATTCACTCTCAATATTTGTTTATGTATTTATTTCTTAAGTCTATTAATCTGAAAAAAATTCATTATGTACTTATATCATGTTTAAAGATATAGTTGTATTATGCCATGCTCCAATATTTTATATCTAAAAATATTTGTGATAATTGATGATTCCTATGATTTACAAGTTCCGCTGTTTTGAAAAAAATATAAGGTAATTATTTGAACTTATCTGTTTTGAGGCAATTGAATTCTTCATCTTATTTTTATAGGCTTGAAACACAGGCAGCAAGCGTTATAATTCCAAATATTTGGATATTTAATCTCAAGGATTAAGATGTGTATTGTCAAAATTCTCATGGTGAAGTAATAGTGGAATTTTGGAGATCCTATTAGTTTCATCTCATGCACTATTCTAACCTGATTGTTCATTTATTTCCATCACAGTTTTACTTTTTTTGAGAGAGAGAGAGAGAGAGAGAGAGAGAGAGAGAGAGAATTTTTTAATATTTATTTTTCGGTTTTCAGTGGACACAACATCTTTTATTTTATTTTTATGTGGTGCTGAGGATCAGACCCAGCGCCCCGCACATGCCAGGCGAGCGCGTTACCGCTTGAGCCACAACCCCAGCCCCACACAGTTTTACTTTTGATGAGTTTTGATAAATCTAAGCACTCACCTTTTGTATCCACTAACATTCAAAAATAGAACATCATACTAATTTAACATCTATAAAATTTTTATCTGTTGTACTCTATGTCTTCCAGATTTTCAAGTGTGTTAATATCACACTACTAATGTACAGTGTAACAATAGTGCATGTGATCAGTGATTCATGCCTCTGATTATACATAATAAATATATATTATATAGTATGAAATTTTAGATTCATTAAAAGAAATGTATTACATAACACTTTCTGTCCAATTCTGCTTTGTGCTGCCCCACTGTATCATAATTTTTCCTAAAATACTGCTAGAAATATTTTAAAGTACTTCAAATAAAGTATTTCTAAAAATATTTTCAATGTGATTTGTATGTACATATTTAAGAACAATAACCTATACATTATTTTGAAGTGTACTTCAAAGTAGAAAATTGTCAGATTTGTTCTTCTAAAATCTATTTTAACTTGTATTATTGATTAAATTCTTTCAAAACATGCTATGAAATTTTGTTTTAGCACTTTTTAAAATGTCTGATAGTTACTTAAGTCTTTTGTCTTTCAAGAAACTTGCATTTCTTCAGTACACTGGCACACTTTCTAGCATGTTGCTTATGATATGTGTTTAAATCATGTGTTACTTGAGGGTAGCTTCTGCAAATAACAGATGTTATTTGATATGGCTAAACTTGATATATTTTACTTTCTAGATCGCTCTGAGAGGCCCTCCTGGCCCAATGGGGCTAACTGGAAGACCAGGTCCTGTGGTAGGTTACTCAAAAAAGATAATGCATGTTAAAATTTCCATATTAGTAGTTCCTTGCATCTTCTGTCAGGCTTGTTCATACCTCTGACTGGTGAACATATTGTGCTTGATATTGTTTCCATCTTTAAAAAAATCATTTTTTTATTCAACCTTGAAATTTTATAATACTTTATTTTGAAGGACTATACATTCAATGGTATGAGCTCATGAGTAACATCATGGTTGTTATGATAATATAATTGATATAATTCAAATTGTTGCATTTTTACTGTTGAATTTTTCAAAATGTAAGAAGGAATAAGGAATATTGTTTTTTACAAAATATTTTGTTTTAGTTGTAGTTGGACATAATACCTTTATTTTATTTTATTTGGAGCTGAGGATCGAATCCAGCAACCCTCATATGCTAGGCAAGCACTCTATCGCTGAACCACAACCCCAGCCCCATGGAAGATTCTGTGTCAAATAAAATATGGAGGAAATAGAGCTAGCTTTAATTGCTTGTTATTGACAAGTTCATATAACTACAAAAAGGCATGTTAGTGTTTTATATAATTTGGGGGCAGAAGAAATACCAGGACGTTTTATTAAAAATAAAAATCACTGAGTCCTGGAACTTGGGGACTGTGATGATGTAGTTTGAGAGCTGGAACTGGTGAATGGTATTTTTCATGAGCGCCACAGGTTGATTCTTATGGCCAAGCATGTTTGGAAAACTCTGCCTTATGCTTTGTAATTTACAGTCTAGACTCTCTAAATTTATATCATACAAAGGGATTTCATGACAAACACAAACAAGTGGATTTGTAGCAAGTAAAGACAGAGGAGCAGAAGCAATAGAAGCAGGTTACATTGGCCGTCCTTGCCCAGTCATTAAGGCTCAGCCATTTCATCACAACAGGTTTTTTGGCAAAGAGAAAACATTGACAATCGTGAATACGTTTTCAACGTCAGTGTCAAGATCAATGCGTTTTTATGTAGTATATCTCTTTGTTACGGAAAGTTTTAGCTTCCTGAAAAATTGAGGGATAGAAAACACTCATATTTATGTCTTTTCACTGTTTCTTTTCTAGTATACTTTGTTAAAAAAACATCAAATTATTTAAGGCTTTCAGATTTCTACTAATTCTACAATGTAAAAAAAGTTTCTTCACTAAGATTCGGAAAACAAAATCTTCCTTAATATTTCACCACAAATGTGTAAATTCTTTTGATGGAACATTATTTTATACAATTGTGTTTTGTTGAGTCATTTTATGGACAAATGGAGATCTATGCCACAAAATAGACAGAAAACAGGGGCCGGGGTTGTGCCTCAGTGGTAGAGCACTTGCCTATCATGCATGAGACACTGGGTTTGATCCTCAGCACCACATAAAAATAAAAGCAAATAAAATAAAGGTGTTGTTTCCATTATAAAAAAATCAATCAATCTATTTCCTTATCTATCTATGTATCTATATACACAGAGTATATAATACAGCTTATTAATTAAAAATAAGTTCCTTTTTGTAATTGTGTTCAATTCAGTATTAAGGTGGAATCCCAGTTTTTCTCTAGAAGAAATTCAGTTACAAGAATTTTTAATCAGATGCTTGAAAGTCATCATTCTTCTAACTTTTAAGATGAGAAAATTCATGTTAGAGTACTGTCCTTATTTCTTGGGAATCATATCAGTAGTTATTTTACTTTGGAGCCACCAGGAGGCTCTAGATAGCTAAGATCTTTAGTTAGTGTAATTTTAATCTTTATTTTGATGTACTCCATGGTTTAACAAAATGTATATTGATTTAAATAAATCATAAACTTTCAAAACATACAATGTAAACTTCTTCAGCATGAACCTAATTATAATCACCATGTTTGTTTTTAATATTCTAATGTTTTTAGGGAATAAGACTGGCTTAATGTGTATTTCGAAAACTTGCAACTCATTCATAAAACAGGTTAAGGGTTTCTGTTAATGTGCCAGGTTTTTATTGCACTTTTAAAATTATGTAAACATTTGTACAAAGTGTTTGTTATAATGAGTTAGTCCCATAGGAAAAAATAAACCAATCTGGGAAAAAAATGCTTTGACATTATTTCAGCACAATTATAATGATAGCAATAGCATCTGTCCTTGGCATTTTATGACTGTGAAATTCAGTACTTAAGAAATATCTGGCTATAAAAGCAGTAACACTTTGCCAAATCCTTATTGTATAAAAGGATTCAGTGCATACTTTATTCAGTAAAATTTTTTGCACTAGTACTACTCTGCCATGTAGTGATAAATAATGCCTATGTATCTTTCTAAGTGTTCTTGAGGGTATACACATTCCAGAAATTCCCAATGCCATTTTATGAGGTTGGCTTTGGTGTAGTTACAAGTGAAATGCAGACCTTTATATACAGTTCACTCACTGAAATAAAATCAACATGATGACAAGAGATGCACTTCAGGGAAAGGGCTTGAAGAGTTTAATGTTTTAATTAATGACATCAACTAGTTTGACAAGGTGTATTCAGGATAACTTTCATTTCAAGTGAAAATAGTGGGATATAAGTGATCAGAGAATTGCTAACTTAAATGATTATGCCTTCAATTTTTCTTGACAGGGTGGGCCTGGTTCAGCTGGGGCCAAAGGTGAGAGTGGTGACCCAGGTCCTCAGGTAAAAAAAAAATAAAAAATAAATAAATAATAATAATAATAATAATAATAATAATAATTTGTTCTTTTCACTTATTTTATTATTGATTTATTTTATCTAGTAAGATGTTGAAGTTTCTGCTGTTAGGAGTAAAGAACCTACTTACCTTACCTTTATGCTCATGTTACGTCTTCTAATTAAAAAACCTGTAGTGAACAATAAACTGTCAATAGCAGTTAATTCAAAGCATGTTTAAATTGTGGGTGGGAGCAGGCTTGAAAGTAATAGAACTTTAGAATTCTAAATTGGCTAGTGATGTTATAGAGCAGAGCAGAACAGTTGCAGTAGTACTTGTATTGGTGGTGCCTCATACCTATGTTTACTGTGGAGAGTAAATTTAGCACATTGTCTCATAAAGGATATTTAATACATTTAAAAGAAGCTCACTTCAAAACCTTCATAGAAGTAAGGAACTTAAGAAAAATTGAAGCCATATAAGCTAAAAATTTTAAAAACATCTTAGATGGTATTTCAATGGAACAAAATTCAAAGTATTAATTTTTCTTTAATGATATTAAATAGAGCTGTTAGATTATGCAAATATTCTCAAAAACAGAAAAGCAAAAGATGATGTTTATTTTTAATATATTAATTTTTAAATATAAATGCTTCCTGATCTATTCAGTGAATATAAATTTACATTGGGCTGCAGGATCTCTCAAATGATCATCTGCTCAATTTTTTCCCTCTTTTAAAATTAATTTTATTCAAAAATATTATAAGGAACAACTGATTTAAAATGCATTCTTTGTAACCTGCCTCACAATCATTAGAACAGATAATATTCTATAACTTCAAACCATTTCTTGGTATCACCCCTTTATAGTTGTATTCTCCCTTAACCCCAACCACTGATCTGTTCTTTATCACTGTAGTTTTAAAATATCACAAAAATGAAGTTATAGTTTAAGTAACATTTTGAGATTGGCTTCTTTGACACAGCATAATGTCTTTGAGACTCATCACAGTTGAGTTCATCAATAATGCATTCCTTTTGTTGTTAACTAGTAAGTACTCCATTGTGTGGACACACCAGTTTATTTTAAAATGAGAAAAAAATCCAAAGAAAATTGATAAGGATATTTGGCTGACTCAAGATGTGACAGCTTTCCTTTTCAGGCTTAGTTAATATTGCCATAAAAGAATGAAAAACATTTGCAACTTAACTTAAAATTGCATGGAAATATTAAAATGTACTACATGAAAATCTAGGGATTGTATTCTTTTGAAAAATTTGTGAAATTTCTTCTTCTTAAACTCATCTCTTTTTTTTTAAAGAGAGAGTGAGAGAGGAGAGAGAGAGAGAATTTTTTTTTTAATATCTATTTTTAGTTCTCAGCGGATACAACATCTTTGTTGGTATGTGGTGCTGAGGATCGAACCCGGGCCGCACGCACGCCAGGCGAGCACGCTACCGCTTGAGCCACATCTCCAGCCCTTAAACTCATCTCTTTAAAAACAGATGAATCTGAAAACATGCTATAGCAGTGTTTGTGGATTTCGCAGTTTTTCTGATTCTCTTAAGTCCAAAGAGAGATAAGTGATATGTGAGGACCATTTTCATTTAAAATTAGCAATATATGTCTTTTTTATTATTGTACTTTATCTTCCAACTAGGTTTAGGGTAGAATCTTGAACAGTTTTTTTTTAAAGCAATATTTTTTGGGGGTGAGTACCAGGGATTGAACTCAGGGGCACTCAGCCAGTGGGCCACAACCCGGCCCTATTTTGTATTTTATTTAGAGACAGGGTCTCACTGAATTGCATAGTGCCTCGCTTTTGTTGAGGCTGGCTTTGAACACATTATCCTCCTGCCTTAGCCTCTGGAGCTTCTGGGATTATAGGCGTGTACCATCACACCCTGCTAAAGCTCTATTTTTTAACCTTTACTCACTAGACAATTTTAACTTTATATTTCTAGAATCAACATTTTGTAGCAATCATAACAAATATTTTTAATTTTAAATATTAATTTCATTTTTTGGCTACATTCATTACATAAAAATTGTTTGAATTAGTGTTGAAAAGTATATAGTTAATTTAAAGGCCAATATACTATTCATTCTGAAACTCCATTTGATCTCTTATAGCTGTGTAGTAATTTACATTAAAACATATATCATTCTCCTTATTGTATTGCTACTATGTAAAAGAGAGTTTCTAATATTTAATATACCTGTTAATGGATAGTCCACTAGCATTTTGTAAATGATTGAAAGAACATGTACCAGATTCTGTGCTAAGCTACTGCAATATATAATTGAAAAAAATTTAGCTGGAATCTTTGGCAAGTAGGAATCTAATCGGTGATTCTGTTCTTAAAACAATCCAACATGATAAACTACAATGAAATTCTAAATATCTAGGAGAGATGATCCAAACCTGAAAAGACAGATGAAAAATGTGGGTGGTTGGAAAGTAAAGATAAGTAGGGAGGATGGTGAAAAGTGTGTTCAGTCAAAGGAAATGAGAAACCCATGATTTTGAGAATAAAACAAGTGATTAAGGGTACTTGTAAGATTTAAAATATTCTATTATAGGTGTTTTTTGTTTTTGTTTTGTTTAAATGTAATCACATGTCTACATTTATATTTAGTGGTAATTGACTTGCTCTTTGCAAGAAGCCATTTGGAAAAATCGATTTTCTTCTGCTTTATCTGAATTTTTCCATAGAAATAATTTCCTTGTGTTTAAATGACTGAGATCAAGCTAAGAAGATACCAGTTTCTAAAATCATCTCTCTTGAAGTTATTGAGTTTATTAACCAAGAATTCTACCACATGATTTAACTTTGATGTTTTGACTTAGGGCCCGCGAGGTGTCCAAGGTCCTCCTGGTCCTACTGGAAAACCTGGGAAAAGGGTATGGCTGATTTTTATTGTGTGTTTTGAGATTTACCTGTAATGATCAGTTAGTTTGTTTTCTTTTACTTTCTGTTAGTAGGAATCCCTTTTGCTTAATGCTGTTTTTGACATTATCAGGGTCGCCCAGGTGCTGATGGAGGAAGAGGAATGCCAGGAGAGCCTGGAGCAAAGGTCAGAAGTGCATATGTTTGCATATTCAAAGCTTGTATGTTGATTAATCCTGAAAACATTTTTGTATTTTAAAATAAAATATCTGGATATGAAATAATAGTTGACATTAAATTAGAGTACAGGTCTCTACTAGGGATGTGACAATGAGAATGATTATCATTTACAGGGAGATCGAGGCTTTGATGGACTTCCAGGTCTGCCAGGTGACAAGGGTCACAGGGTAAGATACATCTAATACTTTTTCATCAAGATATAAATGGAAAGTTACACTATGTTTTAGTATTCATGCACTTGGGCAAATCAGATGAAAATGAACTTAAATATTTGAGAATTACAATTATCACATCTAATAGATAAAGGGAGAAAGATACAATTATGCATGTGACATCAATGCAGTTGTTTTTAGATACTAAAACATTCTTTTCATGGAAACAAATTGAGGCATGATCTGAATGTTCAAGAATATGGATAAGATCACATTAATAAAAGGGAAAGGGTAGAGATTTAATTTTTCATCTACTATCTTAATTATTGCCTCACTTTCCTTCCTACATTTTGTCTGTAAATACACACTCAAAAGAAGATATCTGTAGGCAGTCTGTCATTAATACTATAATATACTGACTGTATTATTTCTTTGTGATGCTCTGAGCTTTCACTTCAATGCAGGACCCTATAATTTGCTACGGGTAAATAAACCACTAAGCAATCCAATGGATAGTTTTAGTGGGAAATTAAATGAAGAGACAGTTCCTTAAATAATAATAATAATAATAAGCTTTAGATACTTTCTTCACCAGAATGAAGAATAAAGAAAGGTAAAGCAGCAATTAGGTAAATGGGAGAAGAAAATGAAGAAAGACAAAGAAAAGAGAACCTTAAGAATTCTAGCAATATGCCTAGTGTGTGCTAGTACATGTCAAGATAAATTGATATTTGATTTTAAAAGGGATCCAAGACTCTTTTAGTTTAATTGAGTTATGTGATTTAATATATTTTTAGAGGTAGAAAATATTAAATTAAAATCCTGAAAGTGTAGCCATATTTAAGACAATCTTACAAAATAATTTCCTCCATGCTTAGCTTGTAATAATAAAATGTCTGAAAGTCATTTTAGGTATTTATTGTATTTGAGCCTTTTTGCATTGATAATTGAGGAAACATTTTCCCTAGCATACTAATATGTCAAACCAGATAGAAGTTTCAATTTGTGAATTTTCTGCAACGTGTTCTGAGGAGTACAAATGCAGTGTATGTTCACTCTGTCCAATGTATTAGTGTATTTGGTTAGCTGGTTGGGGGGATGTGGGACAGACTGTGAACTCATGGCTTATGTCATATGCTAATCATGTTTATTTTTATTTATTAGGGTGAAAGAGGTCCCCAAGGTCCTCCAGGTCCTCCTGGTGATGATGGAATGAGGGTATACTAAGATTTCATTTCTTTAAGACATGTTTCAAAGTAATATGTAGGAATGAACAAAGTAGCATTGAAATGATGCATTTTCTAATATCATTGCCCTCCCATTTTGTCTGTGTCAGGGAGAAGATGGAGAAATAGGACCCAGGGGTCTTCCAGGTGAAGCTGTAAGGATTTTTTTTTCTTCATTTTTAAATAATCATTTTCGTGTTTTGGGGGAAATAATAACGTATGTTATATATGTAAAGGCAATAATAAATTCAGGAAAATGTTGTGGTCCTGCTTAAGCTAAGGAGGCAATTATCATGTTAAAAAACAAACAAACAAAAAAAGATACGTTGAGCAGCTGTTTTGTTTTAAAAGAAAATTTTAGATACTGGAGAGAAAAACATGTGGAATGTAATTATTGTTAACCAAAACCCTACCAAGTTCTTGTTGCTGTTTTGTTTCTTTTAAGTATCATCAATAATTCCATAATCTACTTATATATTTAGAATAAATGAATTTTGTTACCAGAAGAAACAAAAAAAAATGAGGGACTTAGTATATGACAGATATAAGCATTATGTCATTTTTTTTTTCTCCAGCAAATGTTAATAATGGGGAAACTGAACTGGAAGGTTTACTCAAAGCTAGCTGACCAAACCACAATGACAAACAAACTACCTGGTCTAGAGAAAGTACTCCTACTCTTAGTCTTAATCTGCTCCATTGTAGAACCTGTCAAATCAAAAATCAATTATTGTCAAGCCTATAGGAGAAGAAGTAAATAGCCTCTCTATCCTAATAGAAGGAAAAGGAAGACAAGGATTTTAGGATGGGGAGAGAGAAGAGGAGGAGAAATCAAGTTTAAATAGCTATAATTTAAGAAATGTTCTGTCAAGAAAATAGTTTCTATAATTTGCGTATATAGCTATCTTCCTGTCTGTTCCTTTATTTTTTATTTTTTAAAAATTCTTTTATATTTTATTTTTTATTTATGTATGACAGTGGAATGCATTACAATTCTTATATATGACAGTGAAATGCATTACAATTCTTATTACATATGAAGCACAATTTTTCATATCTCTGGTTGCATACTAGTATGTTCACACCAATTCATGTCTTCATACCTGTACTTTGGATAATAATGTCCATCACATTCCACCATCATTAATAACCCCATGTCCCTTCCCTTCCTTCCCACCCTCTGCTGTATCTAGTTTGTCTATTCCTCCCATGCTCCCTCTCTCTATCCCACTATGAATCAGCCTCCTTATATCAAAGAAAACATTTGGCATTTGGCTTTTTGGGATTGGCTAACTTCACTTAGCATCATCTTCTTTAATGCCATCCATTTACCTGCAAATGGCATTATTTTTATTCTCTTTTATTGCTGAATAATATTCCATTGTGTAGATATGCCACATTTTTAAAATCCATTCATCAATTAAAGGGCATCTAGGTTGGTTCCACAGTTTAGCTATTGTGAATTGTGCTACTATAAACCTTGATGTCCCTGTGTCCTTGAAGTATGCTGTTTTTAAGTCCTTTGGGTATAGACCGAGGTCCTTTTTTTTTAATTTAATATATATATGTGTTTTTTAGTTGTTGATGGACCTTTATTTAATTAATTTATTTATATGTCATGTTGAGGATCAAACTCAGTGCCTCACACATGCTAGGCAAGTGCCCTATTACTAAGCTACAACCCTTAACCCCCTATTTGTTCCTTTGAATGAATTTTGTCTTACCTAAGTGAAGTAAATGAGAATCAGGGCACTGTTATTTTTAGTTTATCTGATGCATAATAAGATTCAGAGTTGCCATTCACATCCAAAAATGATACAAAAGTGCCTTATAAAAGTATTAAATTATTTGTTTCTTTTAAAGATTCCCTAAGTGATTCTTATGTAAATTTTTATAATTGAATGCATACAGTTTCTGTACTAAAGATTCACTGTTATAGTTTCTGGCTTTTAGGTCAGTATAAAAACTTGATACTTACATTACATAACAATAGTAGTTAAATATCACTTTCAGTGTATTTAGAGAAGATGTGCAAATATTTTTACTCTAAATATTATATTGGAATTTTTTCAAGGGAAGAGGCCTATTCTGAGGGCATCTCTCATGAGCACATGTTTTCTTTTCTTCTCTCCTTAGGGCCCACGAGGTTTGCTGGGACCAAGGGGAACTCCAGGACCTCCAGGGCAGCCTGTATGTACTGCTTGAAAAACATTCTGCATTTCCTAGAAAAAGCTTGTTGATAAACTCTTTAAACTTGGGAGGGTGTAAGATCTCTTCTTAATCAATCAAGAATTAGCTACCTTTTATATTCTGTTTTAATATATTAAAACATGTTATATATTATCATATATTATATAATAATATATGTTATATAGTATATATATACTATATAAATATATATAATATATATAATAATATATAATATATATAATAATATATGTTGCCTATTGGGGTCATTCCCTTCCCTCGGTTTTTCATTTAACTTATCAGTCTTATGTATTTTGTGATAACTCATGAGCACACAATAGAAAATTATGCTAGATTATCTTGAAGGTGGACATGGATGGAAGACAGTAGGCCCAGCCTCATTTTCACTAATTCTTAAATACCTACTTTTATTTAATTCTAAAAAGAATCTTTGTCACCCTTGGTTAGCATGTGTCATGTTATTATAGTAGCCTTTTTGAATTTCTGTTTTAGCATTGAGATTTTTTTAAACAACTCTGCATATATATATATTTTTATTTTTTTTTCTTTATTGAAGGGTATTGCAGGTGTAGATGGACCCCCGGGATCAAAAGGGAACATGGTATGTAGCAAATATCAATAAACTAATCTCTGGAATCTGGGCATTAAGGAATTTTGCTGCTAAATTTAAAATAAACATTTATTACACCATTGTGTTAAATATTTTAACTACTACTATCAGTAGTAGTTTCACTATTTTGCAGATGAACTTAAGGGAAAACTGATTTGTGGGCTACTTTTCAAGCTGAGGCAAAAAACCCCTCCAAAGCATTGTCTTGCAAAAAATGCCTTATTAAGGACTTTGTTTTTTCCTACTACAGGGTCCCCAAGGGGAGCCTGGACCTCCAGGTCAGCAAGGGAATCCAGGACCTCAAGTGAGTCTATGCCATTATAGTTCCTTTAAGGCAATGGGGTAAAATAGTCTTTTTTCACAAGGAAATAGACACCTTCAAAACTTTCTATGTAAGGCTAAAACTTTAAAATGTGAATACTAGAAAATAATTCTTATTTTTTCTTTTTTTTAAAAAATTTAAACAAACTTGCACAGGCCCTTTTCTTCCGAGAGAAAAATGAGTCATTCAGCATTCACAGAATGCCAGGATCAATAGCCACACTTGCAGGAGAGTTCTGAATAGGATCACTTTACAGTCTCTTTGCAGAAAGAGTAGCTTATGTAAAACTCCTCATAATGTTCTCAAACTCTCCAGAGAATGCAGAGAATGTGTGTGTGTCTACACACACACACACACACACACACACACACACACACACATACACACACACATACAAACATATATCTTTATGTAGATACACACTGATTCTCAACTCATTTCATGTGCATTGGAGAGCTAATAATTTACTATTTTAATAATATGTTCTTGTGATGTGATTTCTAACATGAAATAAATTCTTTTGAAATAGGGTCTTCCTGGTCCACAAGGTCCAATTGGTCCTCCGGGTGAAAAAGTAAGTTACTTTGTTATTCTAGTAATCTCTGATGAACAATTTGTGTTAACAGCCTTAGGCAGCTGTAAGGCTGGCCTTTTGTTCCTGATAAGATATCCTTACAGCACAGAACATAAGGAATTAATCTGAAGTTAAATCATGAGAATACAATGTGGATAGAATTCATTCATCTTTAAACTGTGAATGACAAAATTTTGCCTAGCTTCCTTTTAGACAGCTTCCAAATGTGACACTCTCAGCTCTATTAATGTCAGAAACCTACTACCATGAATGAATGTTTTCTATTTATGTTGATCCTCTTTTTTTTTTTTTTTTGCCTCATTACTTGAAAAATGTGATTGGGTTTGTTTGCAACAAAGGATTTGTAATATGATCTGATTAAGGAAAATTGTGAACCTGTTGCTGCCACTATTTTTCATGTATAACTGGAAAATGATGTCCTTGTTAATAACTCAATGACTGGATCAAAACAAAAATTAGTCTTTAATTAAAGAGATGTCTGATATTCCCATGATCTTTTCTACAAGATTCCCTGAGTACTCTATTCTGTTCACCATAGTTGTAGCACAATAGTTAGCTAGATATGAGAATTTTTATTCCTCATATGTTGTGTATTTCTATGAACATACCAATTAAAAAAAATAAAACCTTTGTTGAGGTATTATTTATATACCATAAAATTCACTTGTTTCAGGTGTATAGTAAATGATTTTAAATTAATTTATATAACGGTGCTACAAGCTAATATTAGAATATTTATACAACTCTAGAAAGATTCCTTGTGTCAATTTGCAATCCATATCCATACCAACAACTAGACAACTACTTTACTTTTATAGATTTGCTTTTTCTGAAGATTCCATATTAATAAAATATGTGTATGAATATGATATATGGATTTAAACATATGGTTAATATAGTATATGACCTGTATGTCTAACTTCTGTGATTTGATGTAATGTTTTTGATGTTTATTCTTATAGTGGCACATATCAGCATTTTGATCCTTTTTATTGCCACACAGTATTATATTCCTATGTTCTGCTTTCTTTCTTTCTTTTTTTTTTTTTAAAGAGAGAGTGAGAGAGAGAGAGAGAATTTTTAATATTTATTTTTTAGTTCTCGGCAGACACAACATCTTTATTGGTATGTGGTGCTGAGGATCGAACCCAGGCCGCACGCATGCCAGGCGAGCGCGCTACCACTTGAGCCACATCCCCAGCCCTGTTCTGCTTTCTTATTCAGTAGTTGTTGATCATATGGGTAGCTTATGCCTTTTAGCTTTTATCCATAAAATGGTATTATGTGGCTCTTTGCATGCAAGTGTCTGCATAGGCATGTTTTCATTTCTTTTTGGTAGGTACCTAGGAGTTCTAGTTACCTGGTAAATTTATGTTTAACATTTTAGGAAGCTTCTAAACTACTTTCCAAAGTAGTTGCACCATTTTTTGGTGTAGTTTCCACTAAAATATATATGGATAAGAGTTCTTCCACATCTCGCCAATACTTATATTGTCTCTCTTCTTAGTTTTGGTCATTCTTGTTAGTGTCACATAGTATTTCATTGTGGGTTAGTATGTACTCCCTTAATCAATAGTGGTGTTAAGCATATTGTTATATGCTTATTGGCTGTTTTTCTGTGACTTCTCTGTTAAAATATCTACTCAGATCTCTGGATTATACTGTAATTGATTTATTTATCTTACTGAGTTTTAAAAATTAACATACATCAAATTTAGTTGTTCATTGAAGTATTTTTTCTGTAGATTGTTTTCTATATGGTTGCAGTATTGAAGTAGTTTTCTCTGTAGATTTTTTTCAATATGGTTATAGTATAGGAATGTTATTGAAAAAATGTCCTATGAATTCAAAACTTTAGATTCTGAAGGTGATTTTAAACCTTTACTTTAGATCGACAATTGTAATTCAGGCCACTCTTAACGTTTATATTACCTCATTGTAATAAACATTATATTTGTTATAGATTGTACTTGATGCATGCATCTATTAATTTTTTAACCATAATTTTGTCATGTATAATCTGAATTATTAAAAGGAATTTGCTTTTAAGAAACATTACCATATCTGAATTCCCTTTGTTGAGCCAAATACAAGATAAAATACAAGATTTTTTACTGCATTTTTTAGTATTAAGATGAGAGCTATCTTAACTATATGCTGCTACTCTCTCTGTTCTGAACATATCTAACTTGTAAATTTAATGACAATCTTTTTCCATCAAAAGGAGAAAAGAACTGAAGAACATGAGGGAATAATTTTAGTTAAATTGCAGTCATGACATAGTTTTTGAATTGTATGTATATTAAAAAGTAAACATATTATTTTACTTTATACCGTGATCTGGCTTTATCTTTCTTTATGATATACCATGATCTGGCTCAAGAACTTTGTTTCCCAAACCACTAATGAATAGTAATTTTTAATTGTTTCATAAGATAATAGTAATTTAAAATAATTTAATTAATATGATATTTTTAATATCCAAGAACTATTATATATTTCATCTTAGGTTATTATAGCTTTTATTATATTTGTGACAAAATATCTCAAAGTTTAAGTTACTGAGTTAAAATGGATAAGACAGCTATATTTTTTCTGACATTTTTAATAAGTATACTGAATATTCCCTGTGATTTATGAGTTCAGAATTCATATCACTCATATGTTAATTGCTTTGAGCTCAGTACAAAATAGCATGACACAAATAAATGTCCATTAATGGAAAGGACTTTGAAGACATGGATATGGACTTGGAATCATTCAGATTGCAAGTTTGTCACACATTAACAGATAATAATATTTCATGAGGTTCATTGAGACAAAGAGGATGATGCATATAAATTGCTCAGCACAGTGCATAGATGCATTCCATAAATTTTAACTATTTTATTAAAATCTAAACTAGTTGACATTTATTTATTTTTATTCCTGCTTCTCCAGGGAAATATCAAGCAGTTTAAAAGCAGACAAAGCACTCTGCTGTCACTGAACTTCCATTGTAAAAGTGATGGATTGATTTCATTTTTATTAAAAAATCATCTTATAGTGCAAGAGTTTTAATATTTCTTGTTTACTCTCAAATATATATCAACAGAAAAGATCCAAGTATTGTTCACCGAGTTGTTATCATACAAATAACACATCTCCCGATAACAGTAATTAATGAACTTGTATTCTGTTTGGTAGTTACATTTTGTTCTAAAGACCAGTATCTTGAAAGTAAAAGGTAATTTAGGTGATACACAAAATGCTGCCATTAAATATTTAGTTTTTTGTAATAATTATTATATAATGTTAAATGACTTGACTGAATATGACTTATGGATTGGTGAAGGGGATTGAAAGTTTTAAATCCTTTAAAAGAAAAGCAATTAATTTTAGTTACAAATTATATTTTTTTAATTTGAAAGTTACATTTTTTTTTACTTCCTACTGATTTAAATGATGCTTTTCTGTAGTCAACATGAACAGAAGGCTTATTTTAAGCACTGTCTGAGAATGAGAAATCTCTAAACTGTCCAGAATTTAGGCTTGCTGAAGTATCCCTGCCTTTTCAATTGGTTGTAAGTCCTGACTAATGGGGTGGACCAAAAAGTCAATAATCCCAGTTCAGTGCCTACTTTTCTCTTCCATCAGTGGTGATGCTTACCATGTTTCAAACTTAGCAAAGGTCATGTTAAATAAAATTTGAAACCCTCCATGGTTAACATGAATTAGAGTGATCTGTTGAACAAATACTTAATATTTTATTATTTGTTAATTGCAAATTAAGTTATGTACTTTTACATAAAAATAGATTTGTTTTCCTTCATGTCCTATGAATATTTTTCACACATTAACATATTTCTAAAAATTTCTTTATAATTAGTGCATTTCACCATACTCTGAAGTTATAGTTATATGTCACTTAACAACAAGATACAGTTTGAGAAATCAATCATTAGGTCATTGCATTCCTGTGTTAACCTCATGGCATGTACTCACATGAAACCATATGGCATAGGTGAGTCACTTGATGTGGCTATCAAGATGTGGTGAATAAGTGGGTGAGACATCCACCAGCATGGTGCAGCATACTGTTTTAAAGTAATTTTTTTATAGATTACACTCTAAAATAATGATAAAAGTATGATATAGCAAAGACATAAGCCAGTAATATAATTAATTATTATTATCTCAAATTATGTACTGCATGTAATTAAACATACAACACCTTATACAACTGTAAGCATTGCATTCTTATTTGATGTTACCACAAATATGTGAGTAATGAATTGCACTAGGACCTTAAGATGGCTAGGACATCCCTAGGTGAGATTGTTTCTACTCCATTATAATCTTTATGGGTCCTCCATTGAGTAAGTGGTCCATTATTAAGCAAAATGTTATGGGGCTCATGACTGTGTTTGAATTATCATTTGTTAACATTTTGTCATTGTCCTAAGTCAATGGATTTTTAAGTTGTAATTTCACTTTTATTCTCTAAGCTCCAATTTGTTGGGGCATTTATAAACTAATTTGTTATTTTTAAAAAGGACTCATTTTAGATTATTATGTATGATTAAAACTAGCATTTTTTTACATATGGTGAATTTGGTTTTTATTTATACCATTTTTCCACATAAAATGTTAGAAAATTATATAAATGTTTATTATTTGTAATTAGAAACCATTGTCTCAAGAATATTTCTAGTACTATATTGCTATGTACATAGTCAGAGCTTTTCATTATTTTTTTAAAATAAAATATTCCCTCTCACTGTTTGATTAGGGACCACAAGGAAAACCAGGTCTAGCCGGACTTCCTGGTGCTGATGGGCCACCTGTAAGTATTATTTACCTGGTCATTACATTTTCTGTATATTATCTTCAAAAGTAGATGTTACATGTGTTTCAGAAATGATTATATGTAGTCCATAATAAAAGTAAATTGAGCCAGTAATTAAACATTGATCTTTTCAAAACACCATTTTATCATGTCACTTCTGAATTGCAAAATCTTTAATGAGCTCACAGTAGCCTCTAGATAAACTCATATTGGAGCTGTAGACCAGAACCTTCCAGAATCACCAACTTTTCTACTTCCTTATGAGGCATTAGCTCCAGAAAGATAGATCCACTCATGTTTTTCCTTGACATTCTGTAAATTTTCTGTGACTGTTCCTTTCCTTGTGCTCACTTCTTTTTCTGCAAAGACTTACTCATCCACTCTTTCTTTTTAACTTTTGTCCAAAAATTAACATGAAACTCTAAAACATTTCATAATTTTCCTCAGATAATATCCTCAGACCTTTGGGATTTATTCCTTCTCTGGAAATATATCAATATTTATTATTTCTCCAAACATAGTAATAAATAATGTAAACATGCAATATCTACCTTGTTACTTTAAAAATGTATTATTTATGCATTTCTTACTCTACAGGCTACTTACTGTGATTTGTAAATGTCAGGATATATGATTTTGTCTTGCTTCTACTTCTCATTAAGTATGATTGTCATGTAGCTGTAGATTTTTAATTACTGAATCTGAATAACTTGATTATTAATAGTGTTAATGTTCATTATTTTGCTCTATTTTCAGATTTTCTATTTACATGCTTTTCTTTGCTTATGAATATGTACATACCATCACTTGATTGATATGCAAAATATAAGTCAGATTAAAATATCTGTAAGACTCTAATTAAGGTTGGTTTTAAATTGTTAATGAGCAATATATTGTTATACATGCTTTTTCAAATCTTTCTTAAAAGCATTCCATATTTCATGAAATATATATAATCTAATGATTCTTTCTAAATGCTACCACTTCCTATGTTATTTAAAAATACAAATACTTGCACAAAAAAGCTCAACATTTTCTAAAAAATAGAATATCAACTCAATAGTTGAACAAAAAGGAAGAATTTCATAGTATTTTCAACTATCGATAATATTGTACCTTGCTGGTATGTATCTTTTCTATATATAGGGTCACCCTGGAAAAGAAGGCCAGTCTGGAGAAAAAGGTGCTTTGGTAGGTTATTAAGTATTCTTTTAAGTGTCCTATCAACTTATGTTCAAGAAAAAAAGAAATACCTTGATTTGTTCAATTCTATAGTATATAAATATATTTTTTTCTGAGCTCACAAAGGGACAGGAGAATATTAGAAACTATCAAAAGTATTTAATCTTTTTCTATGAATATACTTTTAATTTCTGAAAACGATTTCTGAACATTTTAATATAAATCAAATCTCTATAATTATTTGTGATGTAATAAACAGGCATGGCTTGGATGAATAACTTTTAATTTTTTATGTTTATAAAATGGACTGTATTATTTCTTTTTAAAAATATATTTCCATAATCAGGAATAGATACATGTTTGCATATATAGTATGAATGCAATAAATTATCATACTAATAATTAAATTGAACAAAAATTACTGAATACTATTAAACTGTATATGTAACTCCAATTTTATATTTATTTCTGGTAACTTTTAACCAAGAGGATATTAAATTTTAAGTGTAATGATTATCAAATTATCTAAATGAAAGCTTTTTCAATAAGCTAAGTAAGTGTGCTTAGTACTGTTCAGATTATAGCAGCAGGGATAGGATCATTTTTCTTTAGAGTTGTTAGTTTTGAATTGTTGTTAAAATGGCATTAAAATTTCAGCATTACTGCAAAACGGCAAATTACAGATTATATATTGTTTCCTTTACAACTAGACAAGCAAAGCCAACTAAGGGAAATACATAATTTTGATCACATTATTCATCATGAGAATGTTACAATTTTATACAAAATGTTATTAGAAATGATTGATTTTGTTGGTAAATTTATAATTGTCTACAGTAGACAATGAGCACAATGAACTTTTTCAGGTTAAAAATTTTTTATTATCTAATTCTTTACATTATTTTGTGTACATATATTGGACAATTCTGGTATTAGTCTGTTTTGTGTTGCTGTAGGAAATACTTGAGGGTGGGTAAAATATTAAAAAATATATATATATTATTTAGCTCACAGTTTGAGGGATCAAGATCCATTGATCCCATAAATTTGATCTCTGGTGAGGGCCTCTTGGCTGCTTCCTAACAAAATAGATGCCATCATGGTGAGACTGCTTATGAGATGGAGAAATCAAATGTTGATAAATAAAGCAAGAGAGATTCAAGGGCCAGGCTTTCTATTTTATATCCACTTGCTCTCACAGAAACCAGCAGAGTCTGTGGGAATTACATCAGTTTTTCCAAGAGCAGAACTACATTAATAACTCCCAAGAAACTAACCACCTCTCACTAGATTCTTCTGATTCTTCTTCTTAAAGGTTCTGCTCCTCTCAACATTACCACTCAGGAAACCAAGTTTCTAGCACATGAACCTTTGGGTAAAACTCAAACCTTATCCAAATCATAGGAGGTGAATGATTTTTAGCATGAATATGCAATATAGTGAGTTTAAGTGGGTGGTGCTAATCCCATGGCTTGTTTTACACATTTAACGCTAGGAAAAAAAAATGATAACCTATCCAAGAAATCTTTACCAAATATCAATAGTAGAAGAATACCATATTTTTGTAGGTTATTTGGTAAAATTATAGTATGTGAATTTGCATATAATTTAAATTGGAATGAATCTTTTTTTAGGGTCCCCCTGGTCCACAAGGTCCTATTGGCTACCCTGGTCCCCGAGGAGTAAAGGTAAATGTTAAGTTGGTTTCACGTTATTTTTTCACAACGTAGAACATGTTATTAATTTAATATTTCTGATTTATTCTGTAGGGAGCAGATGGCGTCAGAGGTCTCAAGGGATCTAAAGGTGAAAAGGTAAAATTTAATTGTTGGGTGATTTTAATTTTTGTGTATATAGTATATAAAATTTATGTTTCTTCAACATGTGTTTCAAATATACTGAGCAATTATTTACATATTAGACAATGTGAGTCTAATTTTGCATACCATATCCTGAACTCTTAAAAAAAACCAATCAAAACAAAACTTGCAGCCTAAGGAGAGGGTCCTGTATTCGTTTTTTTCTTACATGTATTTAACTTTGTAAATCAGAGTTTGCTACAGGGTTTGGGCAATATCCATTTGTATGCATGACAATTGCTTATTACTTTTTATTCTACTAATAATCCCCAAATTCATAAACTAAAATGTATTATAAAACAACTGGGAGAAGGGGAGGCTTCCCATGTGATGCCACTACACACAAAGAAAAGTGTTAGCAAGGGGGAAATTAAATTAAAACCAGAGAGTGGTAGATGGGAGGATGTATGTTAGACTGTATGTGAATATGGCATCTCTAATATGGCATATAGACCAGTTGATTTTGGCTAAGGAACATGAAATTCAGATTTATTTTTCAAGTAAATGTTTGGGAATGTAGAGTCCCTAGTCAAAGATTATTTTGAAATGTAAAGGAAATGGCATTAACTAGAATCAATATTGTATTAATTCTTACTACTAAATTACATAAAAAATTGAAAACAACATGGAGTCTTGCAGTATAATATCTTAATATAACATTTAATACTGATTCCAAGGACAATCATTTATTTTTAAAGTCAAAGTACTATGAAAAGACCCATAGGTAGCAGCAGGAGCAACAAGGAGAGATCTATTTCTCATACACATTAAAATCCATTTCTTTTCTAGAAAAAACAAACTACTGAGATGTAATAAAGGGTACCACTACATTGTCAGTTTTGTTCTATGACAAATGTGCAGTTTGAATGAGCTCTATGACTTGGATGGTGATGCCGGGTCATCCTGATCAGCACTGATGGTCTGTGCAATGTCTTGCTAAGCTGGTGGTAGAGAAGAGTGATGGTTCAGACAGGGTTAACTTGCAATTATTTGGAGGATGTCCATTTTAAAAAATGTTGTCTCCACTTGGGATTTTGTGACCTTGCTGGAAAGAGGGATAATTGCAAAGTAACCAAGGTAAATAAAACTATAGATAACAAGAAACATGGGAGGAAAAATCCACAAAGGAGACATATTGCTTGTATGTAGGAAATATCTCGAGATTTTTGGTTGTTTTGAGTAACATATCATTTCAGAAGAAATAAGTGTATATAGAGGAAAGTAATTAAAATTGTAAATTTAGAGTCAAAAGTGATGGATTCTGATTCAGTTTCCATACTAAATAGATGGGTAAACTGAAAGATTACTCTAACTGAGCCTCATTTTAAATCTCTAAAATAAGATTGTCCTAAAAAATATCTAAAATGTAAATCTTAATGGAATTTTTAATTAATTTTAAAAATTTGTTTTAATTAGTTATAGATGACTGCATTTATATACTTTGCTATATCACATAGATGGGATATAATTTCTCATTGTTCTGAGTATACATGCTGTAGAATCACATTGGTTATGCAGTCACATATATACATAAATCAATAATGTCTGTTTCATTCAACTATCTTCCTATCCCCATATCCCCTCCTCTCTCCTTCTTTTACTTTTCTCTACCTTATCTAAGGTAAATCTGTTCTTCTTTCCCCCCCATTCCTATAGTGAATTAGCTTCTGCATGTTAGAGAAAACATAATTCCTTTGCTTTTTTGGGATTGGCTTATTTTGCTTAGCATGATATTCTCCAACTCCATCCATTTACTGACAAATGCCATAATTTTATTTTTCTTTAAAGCTGAGCAATATTCCATTGAATATATACATACCACATTTTCTTTATCCATTCATCTATTGAAGGACATCTACATTGGTTCCATAATTTAGCTATTGTGAATTGAACTGCTAAAGCATGGACATGACTGCATCATTGTAGTATGCTGATTTTAAGGGCTTTGGGTATAGACTGAGGAGAAGGATAGTTGGGTCAAATGGTGGTCCCATTCCAAGTTTTCTGAGAAATCTTCATACTGCTCCATGTAGTCCCAACGGCAGTGTATGAATGTACCTTTTTCCTCCACATCCTCACCAACATTTATTGTTTCCTGTATTCTTGATGATCACCATTCTGACTGGAGTAAGATGAAATCTTAGTTTAGTTTTGATTTGCATTTCTCTAATTGCTAGAGATGTTGAACATATTTTCATATATTTGTGAATCGATTGTATATCTTTATTCTGTGAAATGTCTGTTCAGCTCCTTAGCCCATTTATTGATTGGGTTATTTGGGTTTTTTGATGTTAAGTTTTTTGAGTTCTTTATATATCCCAGAGATTAATTCTTTGTTGGAGGCACATATGGTAAAGATATTCTCCCGAAGTGTAGGCTCTCTCCTCACATTATTGATTGTTTGTTTTACTGAGAAGAAGCTTTTTCATTTAAATCCATCCTATTTATTGATTCTTGACTTTACTTCTTGTGCTTTAGGGGTCTTGTTAGGGAAGTCAGATCCTAGGCTGGCATGGTGGAGATTTGGGCCTACTTTTTCTTCTATTAAGCGCAGGGTCTCTATTCTAGAGCCTTCGTCTTTGATCAACTTTGAGTTGATTTTTGTGCAGGGTGAGAGACAGAGGTTTAATTTCATTTTGCTCCATATGGATTTCCAGTTTTGCCAGCACCATTTGTTGAATAGGCTATGAGGACTGATCTGGGCCTGGTCATCCCATGAGATATCAGAAACAGTGCCATTTTCTTTACGTTTCAAATAATCTTTGACAGATTTGGGACTCTTCATCACAAAGTGAGAAACTTTCAATACTGATGGAGACAGTTTAACTTACATTGAGATTTATTTGATTTGATTTGATTTTTCTATTCGCTAACATCTCTACCATATTTGGAACAGGGTGTTTTCAATGCATCAGTGTGTGGAGGATGATGATATATGGATGGTGTTTTGCATTTTTATTGTATTCTTATATCTTTAATTTTTTCTCTTTGTTTATATTCTTCCTCTCACTTGTCTGTTTTCTTTCCAACTTTTCTCCAATCAACAGCAAATTTGTCGGCTCTTCTTTCACTCTTCCTGTAAGTTTTTGCTGCTAGCTTCTCTCTTCCTCCCTCACAAACATCAAGTTCTGCCCTACTTCCATTCTCTCATCCACCATTTGAAATTGTAAACCATTTTAGAAAATTTTCTGTTTATACTATAGATAGTTATTGAACTCATCATTTTGGTTTAATACGAGAAAGCAGTAGATGCCTGAGTGGGAGCTATTAGGTTTAAGACTATATAATGTGCTGTTGATATTGCTCTCACCATTAAAAGTGAGCTGTTAGAAACCTTCAGGGACATTATAGGTTACAGGATAGAATTTGTACTGCCCTAGATCCATACTCTAGATGGGAAAACACATGAACAAGACAAAACAATAGAAAAAATTTTAATGGTAAGAATCTTTTTATTTTCAAACTCTCTGAGGAATCATTAAGTCCTGATAAATTTTTAAGATACATTATTTATTTTTTTCTCTGTATATGTAAAACAATTCACCATATATCCCATTAGACATAAAGAATAAATTAGACAATTATACCATTAGATATTTTTTCTTTATGATATGAATTATTATCAAAAGCTTAAATAGCAAGTATATACCTTAACTATCATAGCATTAAAATTCTGGTTTTGTTTGTTTGTTTGTTTGTTTTTGTCTTAGATATTTCCCTTAAAACTTCTAGTAACACAGCCCAATAGACCAAGTGGTATTGGTGAATTCTTGTGGTACTCATCTTCCAAAACCATACAATTTTTTTTTCCTTTTTCTGAAGATTACTTCAGATCTGACAGTTTTAGGACTGGAAATATCAGTAATGCTTTATGCCATTTGTTTAAAAATTTGCCTAATGAATTTGAGTCATATATTTCTTTTCCTTAGTTATGCATACTAACAACAAAGTTTGACTGAAGCTGAATCCCATTCACTGGTTTCTAGCTCTAAGTAAACAAACAAACAAACAAACAAATAAGTCTACCTGAAACAATCCTAGTGTCAGTTACTGATTCTTGGATGTAGAGTTCAATATTTCTTAAACTAAACTTGGCAGGTGTTCTTTCCTCCAACACAACTTCTCTCCAGGGAGAAGGTAGTGAAGACAACAGTTAATGGAAGTTAAATGGTCATTTTCAACCCTTACACTTTAGCCATTGCTCCAGTTGCATTCAGTATAAAGATAATTCTGCTCCTTACAAGGTCACTTCACCACAAAAAGTGAAAACCTTATTCTGTTCTCCTGAGGAAAAGTTCTATTCCTGTCAGAGTTAGACAAGATAGTGGTTTGGATCGCTTTTTCTAGTTTTTGGTCTCACGCTCAAATTGCGTGTTATTTGGTATTTTCTAAACATTCTAATACCTTGCCAAATTCCCATTGGGGCATGGATAATTTCCAAATGTTCCTTTGGTAAATCCTTACAGAGTATCATGGTTTCAAAAGTCAACATATATTGGATACCAGAAACTCAGTGGTTATTTAGATATGATTCCTACCTCTAGTATTTAATCGAAAAGTGATATGTGATCTACTCAAAACAGGAAGTCATGTTGTTCTAATAAGAAATGTAGCTGAGATACACTGAATGGACAGGTTAATTTCAGGAGGAAATGTTTGAGGTCAGGGAATACTTCATGACAGAATCATGAGCTGCATTGTGAAGAGAGTAAAATATTGCCAGATGTACAGAGAAAGGAAAAGTTTTGCAGGTGTGTTATGAATGAAAATAAAATAATTTAGTTTTTCTAGAATGCAATCCGAAGATTTGGGTGGAGATAGAGGGGAGATTCAAGACAAAAGTCTGAAGAAATGGACAAGAACTAGATCAAGGTGTGGAAGAGGGCAGCTTATATTCATCATTACCCATTTGAAGACATTGAGGAATATAAAAATGAAAAGTAATACCATCAATTTTGTGTTTCAGAGAGGTTATTTTGCCAGTAGGATATGGAGATAAATGTGTTTGTCCTTCCTAACTTTGTTCTCATAATCACACTAACAAGTCCTTTCCTCCAACTCTAAAACGTATATCCATTTTGTGCTATCAAATAAAATGCCAAACTACTTAGCATACCTTCTGTCCTTCACATCTTGCCTCAAAAACACCAGCACCACCAGAATACCACCACCACCACCACCATCACCATCATCATCATCATCTTCTTCAACATCATCTTTTCTTTTTCTCTTTCCCATTCTACTTCATTTATAGCAAAATAGCTACAGATGTCCTCCCTTCTGTGTTTTGGTTGAAATAAAAACTTCAAAATATCCCACAGCGCTTTTCAACATAGGAATTGCTCTCTTAATGTTGTTGAATACATGAATAATCATCTTCAAAAAAATTATTTTTTATTGAAATTAAAAGATAGTAAAGTTGTTCATGAAGCTTCCAGATTTGAGTAGGAACAGCAGGAAATATTCCCATAGCCCCAATGTCTCCATGGCTAAAGGATGCCCAGTTTTCAGCACCTTTGCTCTGTGCATATGGCGCCACGATAAGCAATTTGTACACACGGATGACATATTTTCTCCTTCCTATTTTCACCTGAAGAGAGTATAATATAGAGAACAAATTAAGTTAGAAGGCATCCAACCAAATCACAGGATATTAAATGCACAATGTAAAATTCTTTGATAAAAATTAGCAAGTTAAGGGTAAAACTTTTTATTTGATAGAATAAGACTTTGTAAATCATGTTAAATGATAATTACTTTCTTTATGAAAATAGCATAAGATATATGTTATTACAGAATTACTTCTGTCATGAGCTACAGAAGACATGATGGACACATTTATGAAAAATTCCTTAATTCATAGCCAATATTTGAAGAAAGATTGGAAGATTCTGGGAATAAGGGAATAGGAACAGAGATGGAGTAGGGAAGAAGGAGATTTCACATCTAGAATTCATAATTCCCAGGATAATTTCACCTAATAATTAGCACTCATTTTAGATAACCATATTTTAGATTCTTACACTCATCAGACTAAACTTTTGTTTATTCCATGTATTTCTTATGTAGGGTGAAGACGGCTTTCCAGGATTCAAAGGTGACATGGGTCTTAAAGGCGACAGAGTGAGTAGAAAGAAAATTTATACGAATACATAAAATTACATATTATACATGCATTCTAATCTTGAAAAATAGCAAGTACAGAATAAAGTAAAATGTTTCTATTAAGATTTTTCTCACTTGAGGTTTTCCTTGAATATCATGCATTTTATGTTTCTTGGAGATAGAATAGTACCATTTGTTTTCTAGACATTATCTTAAATTTTTCATTTCGCCTATAAAAGCACACAGGTGCACACTTTTCCAGACACAAAGTTCTCTACTAACTATATGTCCCAATAAACTCATCATATGTTGAAAATATTATGAATTGAAAATACATTTCAAATGTCTAACCTACTAAGTATCAGCTTAGCAGCACAATATAATGTGGAGTATCAGTTGTTATCTTGCTGATCACATGTTTGGCTGAGAGCTGAGCCTCTCTACAGCTGCCCAACAACTTGAGAGAATATCAAACCATACATGACAGCCTGGGAATTGATGAAAATCCAAAATATGAAGTATGGTTTCTATTGAATGTACTTTGCTTTTTCCCCATGGTAAAGTAAAAGAACTGTGTTTTGAACCATTTTAAGTTGGGGGCTATCTGTATAATATATACTTTGAGTATATGTATATGCAGTCCCTGACTTACAATTTTTGACTTTGTGATTTTTTTGAATTTATAATATTGCAAACATACAGTCTATTTTTCACTCTCAACATAGTATTCAGTAAATTGCATGGGATTCTCAACACTGTATTATGAAACAGTCTTTATTAGATGATTCAGTCAACTGTAGACTACTGTAAATTTTCTGAGCACTTTTAAGGTAGGCTAGGATTAGCTGGGAATTTTCATAGCTTACGTGTATTAAATATTAAATGCATCTTGACAGTATATTTTCAACTCACAATGGATTTATTGAGATAACAGACACAGTTTATTAAGATATAACAGACATATAGACACAGTTTTAGAATACAATTATCAAATTACTTTAAGCAATCTGACAGGCTTATTCTAAATTTAGTTCTTAAAATTTAAATTGTGCTGCCTAGAAACTACCTGTCTGCAACTTTCATAAATTTTCAGTAGTTTTGAATTTCAGGTTCTAAGAATAAAATTTTTCTCTGAACATAAGCTCTAAAACACAACAACAAAAATAATATCATTCACCTAAAGCAAATTAGATGCTTTATTGGGAATTTTTTTAATAACTAATATGATAATGTACCTAATACCTCTGAGTGTAAAAACATACCATAGAAGACTTTGGTTTACTTCAAATTCACATAAAAACCTGTGTTCGGGATGGGAAACATTAACTTTGTATCCCAGTTCCTAATTATTTAAAAATAAAAATGAAGTCTAGAAAGAAGATACGTTTTCTGTGTTTCAAATGATGATTTCCAAAGTAGCTTTCTTATTTATTCTTTCTTCTCTCTCTCAATCTCTCTCTGCCTGTGTCTCTTTCTTTGTCTCTGTCATATCTAATTCCACCACCATCTCTGTCATTCTCTATCACAGATGTCTCAAAAGCAAGTTAACATCGTATATGGTGGCATCTGGCTTCTGCAGATTTTCAGTATGTGAAGTTATATTTAGTTGTTTATTTAGAAATGGAGCAAATAATGAAGTCTAACCCTTGGAAGCTTCCTTGTCAAATATAAAACATGAATAAACAAACCAAAAATTGAAGAATCTGATTTTCCGATAGGTTAGCCTCTCTGCCTGTTAGGTTCCACATGTTTTAAGTTACAGAATGTTATTTCTCTATCCTTCAGGGAGAAGTTGGCCAAATAGGCCCAAGAGGAGAAGATGGTCCTGAAGGCCCCAAAGGTCGTGCAGGTCCCACTGGAGACCCAGGTCCTTCTGGTCAAGCAGGAGAAAAGGTTGGCGAAACTCTAAATGCATGGGTCCCCTGTGGAAGATGCTTCATTGACATTTTAAATACTTTTCATCACTGATGTCAGGAAGCTAAAGGAATCTATTATATTTCAAGTTGATCCATGTACTACCCAGAGTATAATCATGAGAAGAACACATTTATCATTTTTCACTTACGTGTATTTTTTTGGTCCCTCTGCTTTCCGTAGCCATACAGGATCAGCTCTTCCACATTCGATGCTGAGAAATGGAGAATGAGTAAAGGATGAAAGAGTTAATAAAAGATGTTCTCTGATTATTGTTTTGGATCAAGTAGAATCATTTTTGTCTCTCAAACCAAAATATACAGTGTTTTTAACCATGTATTTTCATAGAATAAATATTTTTTAAAAATATTTATTTTCAAAAAAATTTAATTTAAAGATGTCACAAGTTATCACTTGTAGTTTGAAGTATTCCTGGAAAATACTAATATTCATTGTTTTGAGAAACAGTGATGGGGCTGTATGTATATGTCAAAAATATATACAATTACTGTATTTACATTTAAATATAACACGAAGCAACATTAAAATTATATCTCAGGACCATTTAGTGAATAATTAACTTTTCAAAATATTCCATGAAACTAAATTGAAAAGGAAAAAAAATAGTTAGAAATATCTATGATAAGTATTATCCCATTATGTGCACTAAAGCAAAATATAGTTAGATTCTTATGGTGAAATTGAAATGATTTCTCTGGTTTTATGCATACATAAGTCTATATTTTCTGTAATAAGCATGCTGTTTTTCTATAAGATAAAGAAGTTCTATGCTATTTGATAAAACTCTAGTATTTTCACCTCCAAACCATCCTGTCCAGAAGTAAAATAGGTTACATAGGTATTATGTGAAGATTGTGACTATTTAAATTTAAAAAAATGTCATGTCATTGGCAATCATCTGATATGACAGTTCTACTGTTTGGCATTTTGAAAAATTTGCCATGTCTGAATTGATGAACAGTATTGTGTTTGGGCAGTGTAAAGAAAAGACAAGGGAAAGACAAAGCCTCACCGTACTGTTATACCCTTCTACTTAAGTGCTGAGTTGCCCACAGTTTAAGGATTAACCTGGGACTTTGATCTCTCCTCCACTGGACTCTGTCTTATGTGTCTGAGGCAACAGCAGTTTCTGCCACCTCAAAATCCTTCATTTTTAACATTTCCTTATGTCTGTATGCATTTACTGAAGTTGTCTATCACCATATTGCAAAAAGAAACACATACTGTCTGAATTTATTTTTAAATAATTTTAAAATGAGTAAGAGTATACATTCTAATGTAGTAATTAGCGTAGAACATTGATAGTTTTGTGATCATAATTAGAGAATTTCATTAACCTTGAAATCAATGGAGTAAAACAAGCTATGAAACATAATGTATCCAAGGGGACATCATTATAAGTATGCTTCTTAGGGCTTGTTTGCATATTTTCCATCTGAAGACTGCTTATCTATGCAATGTTAATCATAACTCCATCAACTCTTTAGTTCAATCTATAATAATGAGGTCATCAACTATGTTCTTAATTTCTTGCCTTGCTTTATCCAGTAAAATGTTAATTTTGTTCATGAAGTTCTTCTCATATTTTAATATTGCATGTACAATGCAATGAAAATGGTTTATTTCCATTTTTATTTCTTTAAGTGTACATTGGAAATGTTACTCCAAGCTTGCTAATGTTTAAGACATCAGTGCATAATATTTTATACATTATGTATGCCTTTATAAGCATCTTATTACAGAAAATGATATACAGTAAAATTTTACATTTTATTGATTTATTTATCCCTCTACTTATATTTTCTTACTAATGATTTATTTATTAAGTAATTTCAGAAGCTAACATTTTAGAATGACTTTTGAAGTCTCTTATTATTGGTTTTACATTGTTATAATTCTTCATAGTTTATACTTTATTTTAGCAGTTACAGATTGACCATAACCGCCTTGTACTAGTACAAAATAGTTATTCGTGGTTGCCCACTGGGAAGAAGTAACACTCCACAACATTTATCATTATTAGTTATCACCCTCAATGTGTAACAAGTTTATTAACCAGCTTTATCCAATATTTGAATAAATTTAAAAATTGCTCAAAATTTAATTCACAATATCTTTTAATATAGTTATTCATAGTTTACTTACTGAGAAAAAGTTAAATAACTTATCACTTGCTTTATATTTAGACTGTGAAAAAAGAAATAATTTACTGAAAAGATTTGCTTCTGTTAGAGCAATAAGATCTGAATGTACTTCCAACTCCATGAACTATCTTGAATGACTATTTAATGTTGAAAAAGCTTATTTTTTTTGTTGTTATGCCTTGGAGTTTACAAAATGGAAAAGCTTTCTTTAGCTAGGATTTTATGTCCCCAAAGAAAGTCTTATCCCTTACTCAAGAGATGTTAAATTATGCAACATTAAATCATTAGAAAGATGCCAAAAGCAACAATTTCCTTTTCCAATGGAAACGAAGAAATGTTATGTAGATAAAATAGTGTAAACACTTGCTGATCTTCCTTTGAGGTGTACAAATATATGACTCTAATATTTAGAAAAATTATTAAAATTTTCACTGAAGTATAATTTTACTTATTTATTTATTTAATTTTTTAACTTTAGGGGAAGCTTGGAGTTCCAGGGTTACCAGGATATCCAGGAAGACAAGGTCCTAAGGTAAAATAATTAGCTTGAGTTTTATAGTTTATCAACATGTTATAAAATCTCTTAAAATTAATCATCCATGATTATCTCACAGTTGATAGTGTAGAGGAGATGGGAACATAAAATATAATTCCACAAGTGACAATCAATGGGTACGTGGTCTCTGGAGTACATGGATCTTATAGAGCCTATGGAAACATGGATTGAAGGATTCCAGGACATGGCATCATGGAAGGAAGGACAGTAGGCTACTTCCTTGTGTTTGGAATAAAGTCTCTTCCAAGGAAGAACATTAGAGTATATCAAAGTCATCAAGTGGATGACATCTGAAGGATGACAGCTTTTGATTTCATTTCTGTTGTTCTGCAGGCTTGAATTACCACTTGATTTCTGTCTTTTATAGGGTTGGTATACATCTTTCGCCTACCCTGTTGACCTCATTTTCATCAGTATTTATTTCCCAGGGCAGTTGTAACAAATCTCACAAACTTCCACCTACAACCAAGGAAATGCACTTTCTCTCCATTGTGGAGGCCAGAAGTTGGAAGTCAAGATATGTGCAGGGCTGCATTCCTTACCAAGCCTTAGGGGAGACTGCGTCTTAGCCTCACCCTACACCTATTGGTTCTGGGTGTCCTTTGGCTTCTGACAGTATTTCTCCAGTCTCTGCCCTATCTTTACATGGTCTTTTTTCCTGATTGTCTATTTCTTTTCCTTGGTGTCTTATAAGGATACTGTCACTGGAATTAGGAACTATCTGGATAATTCAGGATGATCTCCTTTCAAGATCCTTAATTTCATTTGAGGAAGACCAGACATTTTTGTTTTTCTCCTCCTCCTCCTCCTTTTCCTCCTCCTCCTCCTTTAAAATAAAGCAGAATTCACAGGTTTCAGAGCTTTGGATTTGGATGTATCAATTTTTGGGGAAGGGTCACTATTAACCCCATTATATCACATGAATCCCATTTAAAAAAAATTTTTTAATCGTGGTTGGACACAATACTTTTATTTATTTATT